TGAACAGCAATCTCATGCCAAGAATCATTAAACAAGAACTACAAGAACCGTAAGGAACAGGAGGATTGGAGGACAGTAACCACAGGACTATCAAATCGCACCCAAAATTGATTAATAATTACTTTACACAAAAGAACATCACGCAGCAAGATGATCATGTTATACGCATGTTAGTCAAATGCTGGATGGTTTTGGGTATCCTTGTGGTTCAAGTGGCAATGCCAAAGAACTAAGTTTGAATCCCAACATAGGTAAAATATGTTAGTCAGTTATCCCCCCCCCAAGTGATTGTGCCGGAATAGCAACATGGCTCCACACAATAATCTTGGTGGTTTATTCTGCACTGGATACACCAAGCAAAGTCGTCCATATTACCATGCACACCCTTCTTAAATAACTTATACACCACAAACACTTCTTAAAACTGTACACATAACCTTAAAAAACTGTTTGGACACATTAGCACCTAGTGAATTACGTAAAAAAATGAGTAGAAAGGATAAGAATTGCTTCTTTAGCACTCATTCGCCCAACATCAACAGACTGCAGCCGCAGCGACAGTTGTCTAAGCAGATAAGTACACGGTCAATATTTGGGGAGTGTGACTGGAGAGTGGGAAGATGTTTAATGGGCTGGAGTTTTAAACTTAATATGTAAAGTGAACAGTTTGTGATGTGAATATATGTCGACAGCCAGCGATGCTTACATTGTATCAGGTGTGACAAGTGGCTGATCCTATGCCACATTGTGTTACATTGTACAGGGTGTGACAAGTGGCTGATCCTATGCCACATTGTGTTACATTGTATCAGGTGTGACAAGTGGCTGATCCTATGCCACATTGTGTTACATTGTACAGGGTGTGACAAGTGGCTGATCCTATGCCACATTGTGTTACATTGTATAGGGTGTGACAAGTGGCTAATCCTATGCCACATTGTATTACATTGTACAGGGTGTGACAATTGGCTGATCCGGTGTCACATTGTGTTACATTGTACAGGGTGTGACAAGTGGCTGATCCTATGCCACATTGTGTTACATTGTACAGGGTGTGACAAGTGGCTGATCCTATGCCACATTGTGTTACATTGTATAGGGTGTGACAAGTGGCTAATCCTATGCCACATTGTATTACATTGTACAGGGTGTGACAATTGGCTGATCCGGTGTCACATTGTGTTACATTGTACCAGGTGTGACAAGTGGCTGATCCTATGTCACATTGTATTACATTGTACAGGGTGTGACAATTGGCTGATCCTATGTTACAATGTGTAACAAATTTCTACAAACGTCAAGGCAGGTTTAAAACTTGCACTTGATATTTGGAACCAGTCAAGACCTGGTATAAAACTTAATTGGGCATATATCCTGGGTGGTTATATGGTTATATGACCACATCTGGACCAGGCAAACCATTGTCTAAAAGGACGAGGAAGTGCTACATCAGCTGTATCAAACAGGTCCATGAAATAATTGAGTCTTGACCAGACAAACTAATTTTTGAAAACTCAAACAATAACCATGCCATCAGTACTTCCAAGATATGTCATAATGTTAAGGTCATAACATTGCACATACTCAAAAGAAATAACAGTACAGTCATGCTGCAAATGGACTAATTTGAATGATTTAAGCAACTTATCCCATGGGATTGCAGTGTAAATGATTGCACCTACACTGTCCGAGTATAGGATGCATTGATGCAATATTTTGCATCCGGTAAAACCATGACCATTGTGAAGTTTAGCATTTATTTTGGAAACATATCTTCCCAGACAGAGTCATGGTTTTAGGCAATAACAAATATAACTAGAGACAGTGTCTCATTGCAACAGGTGTCAGATATACATTCTGACAGTGCATGGGAGATGAGTTGTTTGCTGTGTTGGCCTGGAACCTGTTGCACAAAGCGATCTTAGTGCTAAGTTGGTCGTAACTCCAATGCATTACCATAGGCTTACGATCAACGCAGCATTAAGATCACTTTGTGGAACAGGGCTCTGGACTGGTTGTTGGGGGTCGACACCAAGTAGGCTGTTGCACTGATCTACCTTGTGCCGTTAACGCAGCCCAAGTTAACATAATTTACATAATAACATAATCTCTTCCTGAAATACACAGGGCTGCAATCTGTGTACATGGTTTCGGAAACTGATACGAAAAGTGTGGTGTGTTCCCAGAAACCTATTAGGAACAATTTTGTCCAGAAAAATCCATTTGTGTTTGTGTGCATGAGATTCTTATATTCTCTGCTCATATTGAATTTCTTCCCCAAACGTTGTGCAAGTCTTACATCAATTTCTGGCTGGCTGGGTATTTATGTAACCTTTTTACCTTAAGTGGAAACCTTTTCAGAAAATAACTTCAGACAAAAGAAAATTACCGTATTCGACGTAATAAGCGCCCCGCTCTAATAAGCGCCCACGGCGATATTTGTTAATATACTGGCTAGTGAACAATCCTAATTGGCACCTCTTCCGATTGATCAATGTACACAAGACTTTTTTATTCGTGCATAATATGTTTGTTATATGCACCCTTAATTATGGGCAATTAAATTCTGGAAAAATATATCTGTCGTATATAAACATTTCAGGCTGTCAGCATAAACCACGAAATTTACGATCTTTCAACTCTGTTGTTTTTCACCAAAATAATATTCTAATAAGAGCCCCCTCATTCTAATTTTGAGAGCGCCCTGGGCGCTTATTATGTCGAATACGGTAATAACAAAAATTTCAATTTGAATAAATATTATATGAAATAGAAATGTATGTGTATTTTGAAAAGACTAAAACAGTAAAAGTCTAAATCCTACAACAAAAATTTGTTAGGACATAATATATCAATATCAGCCCTACGCAAAAACATAACATGTGACATGAGATTGAAAGGCAACCAAAATTAACCACAAAACAATTCTATAACATACTGATCATGCATCATCATTAATTATGGTTTCTTTGAAAATATGACTGCACTCAAAGATTTCAGGTAAATATTCTGGTGATGCTGTTTTGGGTATTTGAAAAATGGACTTTTCCCACTTGATGCGAATTATGTGATGAACACACTGAAGCTACACCATCAGTGGGGTGATGTATTGTGAGTCGTACTTGTATAGGTCATGTTGCGGCAGAGCCAGGAGTCTTCAGGTGAAGTGCCGGAGATGATAGGGTAACCTTTACAACTGGCTTGCCGAGTCAGCGCGGACGAAGCAGCATGGTTTAGAAAGGTCGCAGTTCCTCTGTTGTCATGCAACCAGTGCTCTTAAATTATCTCTGAAATCTTTGATTGGACAAGATACAAATAGTCACAGGGTCCAAGTGGCAATTTTGTGCAAACAAACATGATATAAACTGTCTGTCTACTTAAGTTTGAGAGCATACAAATGAGCTACCAGGTGCTGTAGAGAATATTCAAGCTATATCCTGGTGTATGAGTGAGGGTTGGTGTTGATAATATTATTATGGAATGTTCGGTTGAACAAAACCTTCCAAATGGCGAGCTGGTTTTCTTGGGGGAATTAGTCAGCAAAGAGCCGGAGTCACAGGAGACTAATCACCATTTTATTTACAAGAACAATTAACAATGAACAATTTACAATATCTTAGAATATAGCTGAGGGTGCCACAGAGTCGGTACAACCCTCTGGGCTGTGGTAGAGAGGTCTGCTTGATATGAGTGACAAAGCCCTTCTGCCTACCATTTGGCTTCTGTATGTATTTAACAAAAATTAGAACAATAAAATGGAATATGATTAGTTGATACACGATGGGCTGTGCCTTATGGTTAATGAATGGCTAGACAGAGGGGAATACTTAATCCCGTAAATCCTGATGGACTGGCACTAATCTTGTTGACATATTTACTGGGTGCTTTGAAAGATTATGGTGTCACTATGGACGAGCTTGTATTGGGGCTAATCCTTAATGCACTATAGACGAGCTTGTATGGGGGCTAATCCTTAATGAGTCTAAATTGAAGTAATTGCTGAATGTTATTCTAATATAGGTGATGACAGATTTACTTAAATAAAATAGTTCAAGGTAATCTATAAGACTATGTAGACATATCTTTTGTCTGGGAGATGGGATCTTGATACCTTAGGCTAGCATTTATCTAAAGCTTCAAATCTATTAAACTATGTATACATAACTCTTGTCTAGTTATATGCTAAATGTAATTTATTACATGCGGAAAGCGCACGTTAAATCTCCGATATCAGTCAGACTCTTGTCTTATTGAATAGTATGTCTAGGAGATGCGCTCCCGTTACCTTAGGCTAGCATCTATCTAAAAAGCTATAACTGAAACTACTGATATTTTATATATGCATTTTACCTGATAAGTATTACTTGCTAAACTAATTACATAAAATGATGTATAAATTACACCATGATAACTCATAAAAGCACTTGATGTGGATCTAATTATTAAAGGAAAACTTAGTATAAATGTTATATCATGATAATATTCCAGCTATATCCTGGTGTATGAGTGAGGGTTGGTGTTGATAATATTCCATCTATATCCTTTTGTACAAGTTTTGGTGCTGATAATATTCCAGCTATATCCTGGTGTATGAGTTTTGGTGCTGATAATATTCCAGCTATATCCTGGTGTATGAGTTTTGGTGCTGATAATATTCCAGCTATATCCTGGTGTATGAGTTTTGGTGATGATAATATTCCAGCTATATCCTGGTGTATGAGCGTCCTGCTGTATGGGAGTGAGCGAATCAGTGCTGCAGCCACCAACAGCTGTATCAGGAGGGTCTGTCATCTTGTGACAGTCTATGTCCCATGAAACTGGGCTATTTCTTCAGCCTAGCCAGGGTCATAAATCTAAACGGTAATGGGCAACATGTGAAACTGCCATCCACACATACTGACTTCAGGAAATATTCCCATCAAGCCAAGTTGAGATATTGTTTGAACTATGAATTATTGGATTCTAGCGGTGGCTTCATTTATGTCATTTCTTCACTTCAGAAACATCCAACAATGCATCTGAAGCGTCATCTGCTGACTCTGGCCGTTGTTGTGATCGTGTACTCCCACTACAGTAGTGCAGGTAAGACTCCATCACAGAGTTCACAATGTCCGCCATATTGCGACTTGTCTGGCCTACACCTACCACTGATGCTGTCATACATCACCATGTCTGGTAGTTTCGGAAAACATAAATTTCCCAAATAATATGAGGGGAGGGGGAAAGATTTTGTTTGTTGTTTAACGCCACACTCAGTAATATTCCAGCAAAATGACTGCGGTCTGTAAATAATCAAATCTGGACAAGACAATCCTGCGATTGACATGAGCATCAATCCAATTAATGGATACGATGACAGGGAGTCTGACCACCTGATCCTGTCCTGCCTCTCACGACAAGCATAGTTGCCTTTTACGGCAAGCATGGGTTGCTGAAGACCTATTCTAACCCGGATCTTCACGGCAAGCATGGGTTGCTGAAGACCTATTCTAACCCGGATCTTCACTGGCCGAAAGGAAAAATGAAAGCATGAAGTTCTCAATGAAATACCACTCCATGCCGAGTTATGCACCCATATTGACAGTTGGGTAATGCACAGGGAGGGGGGTAGGTGGATTAGTTGGAGAATATTGATGAAAATGGGGTGTATACTGTTGAGAGTGGGTGTCCCACAAAGAAATGGGCGTCGCCTCACATGTCATGACCTATAAGCCTCTCACAGGGGCAACTCCCTTCAGGTAATGTCAACAATTGGTGGGATTTCATTCATACCGTTATCTCAGGCTTTAACTGTCATTCAATGTCCCCGAGAGCATGCGAGACTCAACTTGATTTAATCGTATAACTTTATTGAATTTTAAAGACATATTGTCATAATACAAAAGCATACTGTTTTTTTTAGTACAAAATGAAGTAAAATTCTACAGGGAGTGTTCGAGAGAGAATAACATGCACCTGTGCATCAATATTTGACAATTAATATATGTTTATGAAAATGCTATACTGTGTTAACTTAAAAATATATAACAGGCAACACAATGTGACGTTTATATGGTTAAGGATGAAATCCAAGTTGTACTTTTATCCTGTTTTACCGTGTGGGATGAACGAACATGCATTTAACCAATTAACGCATGGTTAATCTTTTCCAAATATTGCACACCTTGCACTTAAGTCAATGGGTTATAGGGGCCATAAAGATAATAAGGATGTATTTGTTCTGCAGCAAGCTTTAAGAATACCCAGTCAGGAGTCAGATCGTGTAAAACTTCCTCCTTGTATTCACCATATAGATACTGGGGTATTCCACACCTGCCAATAGGATAAACGACATGCACTTACATTCAACATTGTAAATCTCCACAACATAATCTCCATGCATGTCGGAATGAAAGGAATTTTTGTGGGGGAAAATTGATTATATGACTCTTACCCTAGCATACAAGGGGAATTAACTGGAACATGTATGGCAGTGATAAATTTCCAAATGTAATCCTGCCGTTCAACTGGCTTAACTATTTAATTCAACTCTTTATATTTGTAGACTTTTTTTTTTCTTTTGCGTGAGTGAGTACACAGTTTTATGACTTAACAGTCATTATCATGGCTGGGTCAGAAACTGGCTCCGTATGTAGGGAATCAATCTCAGGATGAACAAACACTTTACCAATAGGCCACCCCATTGCCCCTACATTTCATCTGATTTATCTTGTCCTGGCCAAACAGCAAACTAAGTATATAAGAACTCACTGTGTCTAGAACACAATGCATATGATATATTTCCTTCATTTTTTGTTTGTTTGTTGTTTAACGCCACACTCAGCAATATTCCAGTTGTTCGATCTAGCCTACCGATCACTTCGCATACGATTTCGCCGAAATTATTGTAAACATTATTATAATTATTGAATGAAATTTTGAATATAATTGATAAAATATATTGCAAACATTAGTCCAGATAAACAATGAACAATTTTTTTATTACCAGATATTATAATAATAGGATTAAAATTGCATACTTCAGTTCGGATTTGTTGACTGGTATTTCCGGTGTTACGTGATCGTGGTGATCAGCTGATAATGTTTTCTGAGATGGGGGAAAACATCATGTCATTGGAAAACTTGCGTTTATTGAAAATGTTAGTAAATTTTGGGAGCCATGCTTTACCTAGCACTATAACCGAGTTAGCGCTATATTGAAGATCGCAGTAACGAGGGACCGCTGTCCTCTCAAGACCATCAAGCTAGTTCTATTAAAGCTTAATATGAGATTGCTTATCACAGAATTATATACAATCGAAAAAAAAATTGTCCCTCAACTTTCATGAGTTTGATTACATGGCCTGGTTTGCACGTGCTTAGACGTGTCATATTGTTTGTTCCACGATGCAACATGTTTAATAATATGTCTTCAAAGCAAGGGGTAATATATCAATATAAGCTATAACATATATCACTGATATCCTCTAGACAATACAACAAAATATGTATTGTTGCCCTTGCTTAACAATGAAACAAATAGTGATTTTGTTCTTCTTTTTAATGCATATCAGGAAATAAAACATAGCCAACAATAATAATAAAAGATTTGTCAAAACGACCTGTCTTTTTGGCAAGGTAAATATCATCCATTTCATATTTCTACTGTTTCTGAAGGATCATTAGGCTACATTTTAAACCCAAACCAGTCTGACCCATCCTTGGTGAAAGCCATCCACCCTGAACGTACCCATGTCCGCTAAAATCACCCATCCTGAAACACCTACAATATCACATACCGACGAAGGTCATACTGACTTTTCAGGCTTGGGCGAGCAATTGTCAGAAATAAATTATGTTATGTTGCTTCTTGACAAAATAAACACCCTCCCTTCTGACAGATATGAATAATAATACCGTATTCAACGTAATAAGCACCCAGGGCGCTCTCAAAATTAGAATATAATTTTGGTGAAAGAATTGAAAGATCGTAAATTTCATGGTTTATGCTTACAGCCTGATATGATACAAAAGAAAAATCTGTGCGTATTATACACGACAGATGTATTTTTCCAGAATTTAATTGCCCGTAATTAAGGGTGCATATAACACATGAGTGCATATCATACACGAATAAATAAGTCTTGTGTACATTGATCAATCGGAAAGGTGCTACATGAGATTGTTCACTAGCCAATATATTAGCAAATATTGCCGTGGGCGCTTATTACGTAGACTACGGTACGTGACATATGTCTCCTGACATTCCCAACTGAAGATTAAACGGTCAATCTCCAAAAATTAATTATAATCTTTTTTAGATTGTAATTTAAAGCTGCAGTCATCAATATTCTAGCCATATGATGAGTCATAAAATGAAACTGGACCAGACAATCCAGGGAGGCCCATGTCATGCTGTAATCAAGTCACTGAGCCTGACCACCAGATCCAATTAGTCGCCTCTGACGACCAGCATTGGTTGCTGGGGACGTATTCCAAACGGATTCGCCATGAAGCAACATGTTCATATTGGATCATAATACTATTATTTCTCTTCCAGAAAACCCCTGCTGTTCCTTCCCTTGTCAAAATGGTGGCATCTGCATGACCACTGGTCATACTTCCTACACCTGCGACTGCACAGGGCTGGAATACTATGGAGACAGTTGCGAACATCGTAAGTACATGCATCTCGTAAGCAAGAACCACTTTCAACATTGGTTGTAGACATTTACCACTTCGGTAAAACCCCAAAGTTACACACCCATAACCAACATATTCTGCCAAGGGACACAACTCAACAGCAACTTGGAATGATTAGACAGTGCTTACGTTGCCTTGCATGATCACATACTTTCATATGCTACTCAAAAGAAGTTAAAGAACACCCGATTTTTTATACGGCTACAGTTAATCTGTCATGGGGTGAGGTGAAATTGGGTTTAACGTTGTGTCCAAGATTATTGCACTTATATAGCAAAGCGCGTGCGCGTGCGGTGTGTGTGGTGTGTGGTGTGGTGTGTGTGTGTTTGTACTAGTCCGGACTGATGCCGATTTATAGTGCTAGTTCACTGAGATACCATCATGCAGTTTAACATGAATACCTCACTCACACACAGTATACTGACTCCGAGCCGACCAAGTACCAACTTTTAACGTCTTTTGGTATGACGCGGACGGTGATCTTACCTGGACCTTCCTCTCTCCGGGGGACGCTCTACCACTAGACCACGGAGGCAGTCTAATCTTCATGACATGACATGACAGACAGATTAACTACAGTCATATGAACAAATTACAGACTTTAATTTCTTTTGAGTAGTATACATAACTAAACCAGTTTGAAATTCAACTTTCTGACTATTTTGTATTTTTCAAAAAGAAATTTTCGTGTTGTAATTTCTAGTTACAATGAAATGTTCAGGTTGGCCTGATACATGAAAAACATCAACACACACGTTTTGAATCATGACATTTGAATGTATAATCATAGCACGTAGTGTACCCTTGACACGAGTTATTAGCAAGCATCCTCTTGTTAGAGTGTCATCACCACACATCCATCATGGCCCACTTCACAACTTCCATGACACTCCTGACATTCACTTCTGACAGAAAACGGATAGTACATTGGGTGCTGCTGGATTATGAAATTAATAAATATGCAACATGTTTATTCATATCACTGGACTCTTCATAACCCTTGTAGAAACAGGATACTACAACTACACCTAAAAAAGAGATACTTACAGTACATGAAATACACAAGAAGTAGAGTCGTAGCTGCATTTTACAAGTTTGTTTGTCTGTTTGTTTGTCTGTTTAATGCCGCACTCAGCAATATTCCAGCTATATGACGGCAGTCTGTAAATAATCAAGTCTGGACCAGACATACCAGTGATTGACATCATTAGCATCAATCCACGCAATTGGGATACGATAACATGCATCAACCAAGTCAGCGAGCCTGACCACCCGATACCATAAGTCCCCTCCTACGACAAATTTAGTCGCCCTTTACGGCAAGCATGGGTTGCTGAAGACCTATTCTACCCTGGATCTTCGTGGGTGGCTTGTACCTAGTGATGTACCTGTCTGTGTCCACTGGGGTTATTTCTTGTGAAACTACCTTGCGCCCTTGACATCCCACCCAATCCCATGACACACCATCTAATCCCATGACACCTCATCCAATCATAACATACCATCCAATCACATGACACACCATCTATTTCCATGACACCTCATCCAATCACAACATCCCATCCAATCACATGACATGCCATCTAATCATCACAACCTATGCAATCACATGACATGCTATTTAATCCAATGACATGCTATACAATCACATGACATGCTATTTAATCCAATGACATGCTATACAATCACATGCCATGCTATTTAATCCAATGACATGCTATACAATCACATGACATGCTATTTAATCCAAAGACATGCTATACAATCACATGACATCCGCTCACAGGCCATGACGTCCACTCACATGACAGGCCAACAAATCACAGGAAATGCAGTGCAATCACAGGCCATCCAATCATATGAAATGAAGTCAAACATCATCCAATCACATGCTTGTATTTACTGTTCTCCTTGCAGCCACATTCTGGAAGAAGGTGAAGCTAATGCTGAAGCCGGATCCCGAGCAACTCCATCACATACTCGTCAACTACAAATGGCTGTGGAGCATCATCAACAATGTTTCGTTTCTCAAGAACGCCGCCATGAAGCGAGTGTACACAAGTAGGTCAACTCAACATTGGATTTGTTTTGTTAATCTGTTGTTTTAACGCCGCACTCAGCAATATTCCAGTATGTGATGGCGGTCTGTAAATAATCGAGTCTGGACCAGACAATCCGGTGATTGACATCATGAGCATCGATCCATGAAATCAACATTTGAGTGAGTGAGGCTTTGTCACGTGGTCAGCAATGTTACAGCTGTAACCCACCACCCTGTTCAGTAATCAATCTGGGATCAGACAAACCAGCCGTTCTCGATGTCGATCAGTGAACAGTGTTACCCAACCAGAAGTCACAGTAGAAGGGCCCCAGGAAGTCACAGCAGAGGGGACCCATAAAGATCCAGGCTATAAATGAACGTCTTCAGCAGCCCATGCTTGCCACTAACAGGATCGGGTGGTCAGGCTTGCGGACTTAGTTAATGCATATCATCGAAACTCAAGTTTGTAGATTGATGCTCATGATGTATATCACTGGATTATCTAGTGCAGATTTGAATATTTACACACTGCCGTCATTTTGCTGGAATATTGTGGAGTGTGGCGTTAAACAACAAACAAACAAAACACACCTCTCCGTGTGACTTGGGTGATCTACACCAAGTATTTTGTGAACTCTCCTGGCATGCATAGGATACTTCAAGCCAGCAATGTAAATACACAGCATTTTCATCTTTATAAGGTATTCTAGAGTATCGTTGATATATCTTCATAAAGCCAGACGCATCACAGTACCACATTTAATCATGGCATGTCTGTTTCAGTGCGTTCTCACATGATCGACAGTCCCCCTGTGTTTGAGTCTGACCATGAATATGCAACGTTTGATGCCGTCGGCAACTACTCCTACTACACGCGAACACTACCCCCGGTGCCACGAGACTGCCCGACTCCCATGGGGGTCAAAGGTAAGATATTGTCACGATCCTGTGAGTGAGTAAGGGAAGGATGCTACATACCATAGTCTGACATACAGTGCGTTAGTGTGTGGCGGCTTGTAAGGTCCAACCATTGGATTATCAAGTGCAGGTTGCCGAGTGAGTGTTTTTAGATAACAGCCACATTCCAGCTACATAACTGGGAACAACAAAAATGGGCTTCTCACATGTGGGATTGGTTGGTTGGTTTGTTGTTTAACGCCGCACTCAGCAATATTCCAGCTATATGACAGCGGTCTGTAAATAATCGAGTCTGGACCTGACAATCCAGTGATTAATATCATGAGCATCGATCCACGCAATTGAGATCGATGACATGCATCAACCAAGTCAGCGAGCCTGACCACCCGATCCCGTTAGTCGCCTTTTAGGACAAGCATAGTCACCCTTTTCGGCATGCATGGGTTGCTGAAGATCTATTCTACCCCGGAATCTTCACGGGTCCACATGTGGGGAATGAAACCCAGGTCATCATTGTGACGAGCAAGCACTTTAACCAGGAGGCAGCTCAAACAATCCCCGTCCATGCTACACAGGCATTGTGCACAAGTAATACCCCAGCCCCATTACGACAGTGGACAGTCATGAAGAAGCATCACATGTGTTCTTGCGTCAGGATTCAAACATGGCTCTTCAGTGAGATAGTGAGCGAGTATGGTTTTACACCGCTTTTAGCAATATTCCAGCAATATCAAGGCGGGGGACACCAGGAATGGGCTTCACACATTGTACCCATGTCGGGAATCGAACCCGGGTCTTCGGCGTGACGAGCGAACGCTTTAACCACTAGGCTACCCGACCGCGTCAGTGAGATAGCAAATGCTAAACCATTAGCCTCCAGTGCTGCCTCCTCATTACCAGACATGTACCACTCAGACATACAAACATGACAAAATGTATTCTCTAAGCCAGGTTATCCTGTGGGGAAACTCTGAGTGTTGCACTAGAATCTCGAGATCCTGAGATTTATCTGCACATGCTTGAAGCTGATAGTCAGTCCACAGGTCTGCAGCAAATGTCAGTAAAAAATCCCAATTTAGAATTAAAAGTTTCTCCATTCATTTCACCAGTTAATAATGCTTTGGCTTTGTGGAGCTGACTTGAATTATACCCAATAAAGAGGAGAAGGCTTTAAAGTTGAGTTTACATTATTACACGGAATGAACTGTAAAAATACCTCTAGATTTAAGAAAATATGAATTATAAAATAAATCTTGTTTTTGAAGAAAAGGATTTAATTCCCACATTGCCTGCCCAAGGCACATACTTGGGAATCCTAGATAAATACCAGATGATCTTGCAACATTCTGTCACTACAGAGACACATCCTTCAAGCATAAAATGCCATTGTAATATTCCATGCACAAGTCATATACGTTTTTCATGACATTTCACGAAATCCTGATAAATGGGAAAGACTAACATGACACTCCTGAAATATCTGCAACCAAACAAGAATATATGCCAATTTAAGGCTTCAATTAGAGAACACAATGTGATCTTCAGATCACTTGGCAGTGTGTAGGCGACTTTCTATGGATGACTGTTGTCGTTTCCTGGGGTTTCCCTGTCTCGGAGCTGTGCCCCCAATTCACACCCACTCTCGCCATAACACATTTATTCACACGGTGCATGGAGAATTGGCCACTGAGGCAGAAAATTGCGAGCTTATGGCTTTTGGTGTGTCTAACCTGTTTACGTTGATAGTGTATGTGACATATGGCCTATAATGCAGCCTGAAGGCTTTTGTACCTGTTTATATGATTTTTCTTTTCAAGCAAATATGTGTACATGTGAAACATTCTTTTACACGATCAAATATTTAGTATTTTTTATTTTTGTTGTCGGTTGCATCCTTGTTTCTAATGATACTGAGACATTGTCTTCATTCTTTGGGGGGGTGGGGGTGGGGGGGGGTGGGGGGGTGGGTAGATGTCAAGCAAGATCTGTCACGTCATGTAGTTATATGAGGGAATCAGGTGTTCTTTAACTTATTTTGAGCAGCATATGTGAAGGTTCAAGGAAAATTCAAGATAGTTTGACAATGTATGATCATTAGGCCATCTTTCAATACAGTAAAGTTGTTATTTTTCATTTAACCTTTCCAAATTTGAGTTTGTTCATCCATAAATGCCTCGACAAGACAAAACTTGTTCTTGCATTCTTTCTTTGTCAAGTCACAAAGTCAGCACATCATACCTCAAACAAGCCCGATCATGACAAAGGGGTAATTGAATAAGGTGAGGTGAGGTGAAATGGGGTTTAACGTCGCGTCCAAGGTTATTGCACTTATAAAGCGACGTGCATGTACGTGTGTGTGTGTTTGGGTAACTGAATAACTCACTGTAATACTGTTGTCCCCAGGCAAGAAGACCATGCCCGATGTGGACTACCTCGTACAGAAGTTCTTCAGACGGACTAAGTTTCTCCCAGAGCCCATGGGTAGCAACGTCCTCTTCTCCTTCTTCGCCCAGCACTTCACCCACCAGTTCTTCAAGACGGACCTGAAGATGGGGCCTGGCTTCACGTGGGGCGGCCATGGGGTGAGACGTTCTACCTGTCAGACCTGAAACACAACACTCTCACGTCATAATGCCAGCATGATGGTCACTGTACAATCGTCATCACAATAGCTAGTTTGGAGTGAGCGAGTTGGGTTTAGCGCCGCTTTTAACAATATTCCAGTTATATCACAGCGTGTCAGCTTTATCTAGGGGGAAAGGCCGAAGTGATGCAGGTCTCAGCCGTGTACCACTTCGGTGATCCACTGGTGCTGACAAACCTAGAATCAGTCAGGGAGAACTGGGACTCTAACCCACAATCATACGTTTCTGGCGTGTATAACGGACGCACAGCGAATCGCGGCGCCTTAGACGACTGGGCCACTCGTAACCCACTCTAGTTTGGAATAAAATGTGATCTTCTATTTTGAAATGACAAGAATTTTATACCATTTTGGAAAAAGAAATTGCAACTGTTCATGTTATTTCTAGGCAACATTAATATAATCTGAATAATTTGAGTTCCCATGATAAAGCCAAACTATATCAGCACTACCTGGTAGACAGTGAACACCAAGAAACAAGATGTATGGAGCTTATTGACCCCTGGTGTCCCCTCAAGGGCTCAGCTTCAAACCTGTACTATCTCATCGTTACCAATCAATCCAAGCAGTACCGACATATCCCCATTCCCTTCAAGCTAAGGGGCGGTCGGGTAGCCTAGTGGTTAAAGCGTTTGCTCGTCACGCCGAAGACCCGGGTTCGATTCCCAACATGGGTACAATGTGTGAAGCCCATTTCTGGTGTCCCCCGCCGTGATATTGCTGGAATATTGCTAAAAGCGGCGTAAAACCATACTCACTCACTCCCTTCAAGCTAAATGGAGTCCTCTCTTTTCAACTCAGGCCAGATGTCTTTATTTCCTGATTTATCGATTACTGTGCGCAAAACATCCTGTCGTAGGGAAAAAATGCCAAATACATTACTTTCTTTGTTATTCAAATAATGTTCTGACTTATGTTCAGCCATCTTGTAGGTTTAATTATAAATGCACAATCATTGTGTGGAAACACAAGTTTGTATTTGTCATAACAGACAGAAACAATTCTTTTCAGATTTATATTTTCCTTTTTTCATTAGTTATTTAAAAGGTTTATTTCTATGACTACACAATGACATTTAGAAAGTGGTCAAATGAACAAACATTATATTTGGGATTACGCTCTTTGTAAAGTACAGATTCTAGTACTTTTGGGGTTGAGTCCTATCCGGGACTCGAACCCACAATCTCAGAGTGAGGCACCTAATCGCCAGCACACAAAATCAGCGATCTAACCCACTCAGCCACCGAGGCTTCCACAAAAAATGAAAGTCCAACTGGTAGTCAGGTTTATTTCATCTGTAAAAAAAATCCCAAATGTCTCGCCTATCTATGAATGAAGAGACTGCACTCCATACACTAACTGAAGAAGTTCATGCCCCTGAAGAGTATTTTATGAGTGCTTCCGTGGAACATGATCACCGATATCCAGAGAAGCATCCAAGTATGTTTTATAAATATTTCATTCCTGTTGCAGGTTGATGTCTCACATGTTTATGGAAAAGATAAAGCAAGTGAAAATTTATTAAGAAGTTTTAAAGATGGAAAGATGAAATCACAGGTAAGATAAACATTTGATAATTTGAACTCAATTGCAGAAGAGGTGGTTTAAGATTTCAGGATCCCGAGTTAAGACAATTACAACCTGAATTATAACAATGTTTTTATCATGCCTGAATACATAAAAATATAAAAATCTAACAGTAGATTAAGGAACCATTTATACTGATTTTGAAAAAGTATTATTGAAGTAAGAGGCATACGTGTATCCAATCCAAGCATACAATAAAATATGTAAACAATCTGGTCACGTATACAATACAATTGAGTATACAATAAGATCATATATACAACGTGATCATGTATAAAATATGGTCAGGTACACAATGCAATCATGTAAGCAGTATGATCACTATAAAATAACACTACACATACAATGCGATAATGTATACAATAAATCACATTTGAATGTGATAATGACTACAATACAACCACATGTACAATAAGCAGACAATAATTCCATGAAGCTTGTATAGGCATTTCCAGTTTTGGCATATTTTGACAGATAACCAACAAAAGAATGATCTATTGATATAAACCCCCTATTGTTGCAGATGATGAATGGGGAGGAGTTTCCCCCCTACCTGAAAGACGCCCCGGTACCCATGACCTACCCCCCAAACACACCCGAACATCTCAAGTTTGGCCTGGGACACGAGTTCTTCGGTCTTCTGCCTGGCCTGTTCATGTACGCCACAGTGTGGATGCGCGAACACAACCGGGTCTGTGATGTCTTGAAGCAGGAGCATCCCGAGTTCGATGATGAACGACTCTTCCAAACAACAAAGTGGATCATTCTAGGTTCGTTATGAATACAGTTGAACTTTCACAGTGTTGAATATTCACACATGAAATCTTGCCAGACAGCTGGACTAGCAACTATCAAAAGTTACCTGCACAGTTCAAAAGCTGTCAGTCCAGATTTAATAAACTGAACAGACCAACTCTTTGCAAATGATAATCAATCATAGTCAGTTAAATGGATTCTCTCATTGTTATGCCATACGTATAGTATACTACACACTGTTCAAGCGTTGGGAGTACACGCAAAAGCTTGATGCATTTTTCTAAATGCTAGCATTGGCACCATCACAAACGAGTCTCTTAGCTGTATTCATAGAGCATCATGTCAGCTAATACGAGTTATAAACAAACATTTACTCAAATATTTTACACATAAGGTTAAAAAAAAATCAACAGGACTATTGGGCATGTATTTTCTTGAACTTAACAACCCAAGATGATGGGCGTGCATTTAGGCGTTTCCAACGCTGGTTATCACAATCTTCTTGATATGAGTGAACGGGTAATGGAATGTTGTCAAAACGCCACAGTCAGCATATTCAAGCTATATCATGGTTGCCTGTATATAATGAAGTACAGGGCAAGTTACCAGTGAGTGAAAGCATGAGCAACGACCTACATCATTAGGATGTGTTCACACACAGTCCAACCACCTGATCCCCATTTTCATCTGATGACGTGTCTCCCTAGTTCCCTCCTTTGGATGAGGAAATACTCTTCCAAAAGGATCTTATTTGGTTAGTAAATACACAGGAAAACCCATTAGTCTACAAGGGAGTGAGTAAGTAATGTTTTACGCCGCTTTAAGCAATAATACAGCAATATCATGGCGGGAGACACCGGAAATGGGCTTCACACATTGTACCCATGTGGAGAATCGAACCCGGGCCTTCGGTGTGACGAGTGAGTAAATGAGTGATAGACTGATATCGAGAAGAATCGGATTCAATTCATACAGCAGAAAATTCTATGAGTCAGTGACAACCGTTTTACACCAGTTTTAGCAATATTCCAGTAATGTCACGTCAGAGGACACCAGGGTGCCGTTGTACAAACCAACCTTCGAGCTACGACTGTCGATATCTATGTTAAGGTATGGGAGTTACGATCACCTTATCGCTAAGATCGCTTTGAACAACAGCACCCTGGAATGAGCTTCACACAAATGGGAAATCAAACCCTAGGCCTTCAATGTTGCAAGCAAACACTTAAATCGCTAAATTACCCTAATGGTTTGGAGATGGCAGTTCATTTTTTAAGTAATAGAACAATTTTACAAAACTATCAACCTTTTGTGCATTGCAGGTGAAACGATCAAGATTGTGATAGAAGACTACGTACAGCACTTGAGCAACTACAACTTTGAACTAATGTTCAAGCCGGATCTGTTGTTTGGGGAGAGCTTCCAGTACCAGAACCGTATCGCTGTGGAGTTCAACCATCTGTACCACTGGCATCCCCTCATGCCATCGGAGTTCAACGTCAGCGGCAGCATCATACCCATGAAAGACTACGTCTACCACTCGGAGCTGGTTATGAAAACTGGCCTCGCAAACTTTGTAGATTCGATGACCAGACAGAGAGCTGGAATGGTATGTTTCTGACTAATCATTTGGGTATGTCTGCAAGAGTGAGAGTGAGTGAGGGTGAGTGAGGGTGAGAAAAGATGAAAGTAAGGGTGAGTGAGTGAGTGAGTGAGGGTGAGTGAGTGAGTGAGTGAGTGAGTGAGTGAGTGAGTGAGTGAGTGAGTGAGGATGAGCGAGAGAGAGTGAGGGTGAGGGTGAGGGTGTATGGTGGTGTGCACCTCAGCACTTCTCTGATGTGGCAGCTATAACTGTTGTTTTTTTGTCAGGAACAACATGCCTATTGTGTTGTGATATAATTGAAAACTTATTGAAAGGTGTTATACACTTGCCAACTATGTGCAGAGCTAGTGATTCTTTGATTAGTATTTCAGTTATATCATGGCATGTCAGTGTGTGGGAGTCTGGAAAACCTGATTTGATAGATGTTAATTCTGAATTAAATATACTATCAATAAAAGCAAGACTACAAATACATGTTCTAATGTTGTCTTATTTCAAGAAAATCAGAAAATCAAAATTAAATGAATATGAAGGAAATTTACAGTTATTCCATTGATAAATGAAAAAAAATGTGTGTGTATCACTTTTGAAATTGCTAAAAAATACCAGCAGTGCACTTGAATGTTAACAAACTCAAACTTTTCTATCAAATTAAACTGATGACAGACCGAGCACATCAACTCGACAGCCACTGAGGTGTCCATGAATCCACTGGAAGATAGTAAGTTCAACGATTATTTAAATTTGTGTTTCTATGCAGGTTGGCCCTCACAATCATGGTGCTATGACGCAGCACGTGTTAAAACAAGCAATTCTTCACGGGAGGACACTTCGCTTCCAGTCGATGAACCAGTACAGGAAGAGATTTGGAATGAAAACATACACAAGTTTTGAAGAATTAACAGGTATTATTGAAGAACACATGAAAAAAATTGTAAATTTGCCCTGTGAGTGAGAGTATGTGGGGTTTGAAAGCACAGCCAAAGGCTTTACTGCAATTGGTTGTTTGTAACGAGTAACTCATTTCCAGGTATTATATACTTATAATACAAAAAGCAACAAACCCCTTTCCATAATCATAAGAAATCTTTGCTAACAGCCGAGTCCACTGTACAAATCGGACTTATCATAAAGCATATACACCTGTCAAAATAGATTTAAAAGTGATCTCGAAAATGTTATGTCTGCTGTTTCGCAGCATAGTCAACAGATGGAATAATGACTAATCACAGGGGCGAACATGGCTTTTAGAAATATTCCAGCAATATCGCCGGTGACATGGGAAATGGGCTTTGCACATTTTTATCTTTGTGGGGAATCAAACCTGGGTCTCCAGCTCGATGAGCGAATGCTTTAACCGCGAGGCTACCCCATCGCCTACTCAGACATAACTAGCCCTAACTATATTTCACCATTCTCCAATACTCTTGCTTATAGAAGTTCTGGTAGCAATTTCAAGTTCACTGTCATATCCTTAAGGATGTTTGGGCCAATGCTTGATGCAAATTGTTTCTGACATGGGGCCATACCAATATAACAAAGGCATTCCTTGCCCTAGATGATACATTTCCGTAACAGCTGGATGGGAGATCCTACATTGTGACAGATTACACACTATCACAAGGAAATCCTGAAAATATCACAAGGACACACATACAATACAGGATACAGGATACAGGATACCTGTGGAATTTCATTTGTGTGGGTTTTAAGGATGAAATGGGCATCAAGAATTAAATATTTGCAATTCTATCTTGCTTCAAGACTTGTTTCACTGTTTTGATTTTTAGATGCTCATAAGATGTGCAAAAATAACCTCATAATAATCTATGTTAATAAAATCAGTACCACCAGAATATTTAATCAATTGGTATAGAATACTTTTTCACTGTACTGACATATTGACACACTGTAAACAGGAATAACTGTACATATTGTACACAACATGGGTGTTTGGCGTCGGATACCAGTATACAAATGATCTCACTGTTGAACACTTAGACAACATGTCTAAGGTAAAGTAGAGCACACCTACCATACCATCCCAGGTTTGTCTACAATTAATTTCTGCTGGTTCAGAAAAATATAACTGTAATTACAAGTTCTTAAATGTCTCAACTTTTTTTCTAGGTGAAAAGAAAATTGCGAAGGAGTTAGAAGAACTATATGGCGATATCGATGGAATGGAGTTCTATGTTGGACTTTTGTTAGAGAAAAGAAGAGAAAAAGCCTTATTTGGTGGTGCTTTTGTGGAAATTGGAGGACCATATTCCGTAAAAGGACTCATGTCAAACGCGATTTGCAGTCCCAAACACTGGAAACCATCTACATTTGGTGGACAGACAGGGTTTGACATTGTGCAAACAGCTACGCTGAAGAAACTGTTCTGTCAAAACATCAAAGGACCTTGTCCGTATATCTCATTCCGGGTGCCAGATTATGTGGAGGGGGACGTGGATGAGGAATTGTTGTCATGCCAACACGGATGTCATCAAGAATTGTAGGCCTTGGTTTGCATCCAACTGTTTTTCAGGGAATTTTGTAATGAAATGATGAGTGAATGTATACTGTTGGTGTGACAGATGTTCATTACCAATTGAAGTTGTGTAAACGTTAAAATATTTACACAAAGCAAAAAACAAAATTAAAAATAATCATAAAAAAAGATACTAGAATTTGTAATGATACTGGGATAAAAGAAAACATTAACTTAGTGAATGTTGAACAAACCACAAGCTGTACAGCTAGTAAAACAGATGTCTTGCCAAATATCATAAGTTATACTGTTTTCCTGAGTGCATATATTACAGTATCAGGTACATTCCGTATGTCATACAGCTTTTACTGCCAGAATGTGTTAAAAATGTAATACTCCATCACAGGTGTGTGAATAAGTTGTAGTGAAAGTACTATGAATTCTGAAACATTCACAAAATAAGGTTCCATTGCTTGTTCGAGGAGAAACTACTTGTACAAAATTAACCCAAACATGTGACAAATATTTCACCAACAATTGTCTCACCTGAAGCAGCATAAAGCATATAAAGAAGACAATGTTTTAGGTGTATTTCTGCAAGTGTTCAATGTTCATGCTCACCGTTTCGTCTTTGTGTGCTTGTGTCGATCTACAATGTGGTTGTTATTTTCTGTTTTTACTTGGCTTCATTATCCCAATTTGCAGCCTTAGTGTTCCTGTTTACCGGTAATTTCCAGTTTTTTACTGGTAAAATTAGGCTCAGACCGGTATTTCATGTGACTGCCAGTCCCTGTGGACCGGCAAATAAAGTACCTTATAAATCGTTGTTGTTGAACAAAACATTGGCAATATTCATAAAAATACACTTTTCGAATGAAGTCAGCTTGTCTGTTACTATCAGGGTTTCCCCTTGTCTATTTTCAGTGCAAGGAAACATTTTGCTTTGCTTCGAGGTTATATATATTTGTAGCGACAGCCTCGAAATAGTAGAAAAAGAAAAAAATAGAAAATTGTGACTGAACTTTGTGTGAATGATGTGTAGATCTAACTAAGTTACTTCAGAGATGACATCATTGCATTGAACAAGACGTTGAAAGAAGTAAGACCAGATATTTTGTATATGTTTGTTCATGTGTTGAAAGTTGAGACTGGTAATTTTTAGAGTTGCCAGTCCACCAGGACTGCCAGTTTCAAAAGTCTGCGGGAACAGTGAGCCTGTGTGTAAATAAGATCATCCATTGTTGAAATATTTATTTATGATCATAAACATGCTAAATGGGCAATGTTCTGTTATACAATGTTGTGACTTGTTTGGGGGAAGCGTAACAATGGGCATTCAATCATCCTCATCATATTTATTTAAACCCATGAAGCCATTTCGCCAACATTACTGGATGATTTTTTTATTTATTCCAAATATATATACTATGAAAGATTTATACATGGTTGTTCCCTTAAGACTACTATTGTAATTAGCAAAGAGAATATCAAACTTCTGTTCCCATGTATTAGTGTTTGTTTGTTTGTTTGTTTGTTGTTTAACGCCGCACTCAGCAATATTCCAGCTATATGACGGCGGTCTGTAAAATAATCGAGTCTGCAAATGAGCATCATGAGCATCGATCAACGCAATTGGTATCGATGACATGCATCAACCAAGTCAGCGAGCCTGACCACCCGATCCCGTTAGTCGCTTTTTACGACAAGCATAGTCGCCTTTTATGGCAAGCATGTATTAGTGAGGGAATGTTGTTTTACACCATGTTGGCTCTATCATGGCAGTCTGTAAAATATTAGTATTTGAACAAGCAAACCCATTATGTATCAAATCAACTACAAAGCTTACTAGTCTGTCAATCTCAAGTTTCGGATAAAATTTCCATACAAACCAGCTGTGTGTGAACAATTCAGTGATGCCCGGTAAAACTCATTTAATGTTTATTTGTTTGTTGTTTAATGCCGCATTCAGCAAATTCCATCTATATAATGGCGGTCTGTATATAATCGAGTCCGAACAGGACAATCCAGTGATAAACGTCATGAGCATTAATCCATGCAGTTAGGATAAAATGACTTGCAATCAGTAACTGGGCCTGCATGACCATTCAATCCATTTAGAATCCTCCTACAGCAAACATAGCTTGATGGTGGCCCAATGCTCCTACCAGAAAACCAGGTTCATTTTCACCAAGCAATTATCTTGGTTAAAGACTTTTTTTGTGAAGAGTTTAACCCTGGGATTATAAAACATTGGAAGTAACAATACCTTCCACTAAGATGCAATTTTACAATGACATACACACATTCTGTTGATTAATATTTTTTGGGGAAAAGGGATATCGGGTATTCAAGCAACAGGCATCCACCATCATACTGTCCAGTACATATAAAGCCAATGTACCACCTGTTATTGTCATGTTGATATTTGTAATTGAATTGTGAATAAACATTTCTGTGATCTACTTCTGTTGCACATATTTACTGGATGGAAAGACATTTTTTCCAAGCTGTCTTGAGTTTGCTGTCCGCTGTCAACAGTATTTTAGTTTAATCACGACGTGACAGCTCGATGTTGACCCACAGTGAAACCCATGTGCAGAGAGCTGACAAACCTAGAAACTTAATGTTTGTGATTCTGAGATTCTAATCCACTGTCATAGGATCCTAGCATGCCTAAGAGCTACCACTCTGCACAGCAAATAGCAGCATCTGAGAGCTTGGCAACTCCTGCCCACTCCTCTGGTACGAACCATGCTGCTGGCAGTTTGGCCTATGTCCAGCAGAAGATCTTGCTGCTTTTCACTCATGGCCCTGTGCCAGTTAGTCCAGAGTTACATTTTGAAAACTCAAGGAATGCATTCCACAGATTAACAATTGTGAGTGAGTTGGGTTTAACGCTGCTTTTAACATTATTCCAGTTATATCGCGGCGTGTCAGCTTAATGTGGGAGGAAAGCCCGAAGTCATGCAGGTCTAAGACGTTTACCACTTCGATGAAACCCACGAGCAAGGGTATGGTGCTGACAAACCTAGAAACACAATTGGGGCCAACCGGGATTCGAACCCACAATCATAGATTTCTGGCGTGCCCAAGGGACGCAACTCTGCACAGCGAATCGCGGCGCCTTAGACGACTGGGCCACCTGGGACCCCCACAGATTAACAAACAGAATTATGTAAACTATTCCATTTATTCATCATGTGAGACAGTCTAGTTCCTTACAACAGTCTTTTTAAGTTGTGTTTGTTTGTTGTATGACGCCACACTCAGCAATATTCCAGCTATATGACGGTGGTCTGGAAATAATCAAGTCTGGACCAATCAGGTGATTGACAACATGAGCATCAATCCAAGCAATCCAAGCCTGACCACCTGATCCTGAAAACCTATTCTACAATGGATGTACCCCGAGTCTTTTTAAAACCCTTGACATGATATTTGTTCAATTATAACATTCAAACACACAACATTGACAGTAAATTAATTAATATTCACTCCAACTTGTGCAATACCCATGGTACGAAATAACGTTAATCGGAAGTGTTGAGATGAATGGGCAGCTCTCAACACCACGATACTTTCCCATAGGGTCCGAGTTGGTAGTTATTTGATTTGGAGAGGTTCCCATCCACGATGTCCTGTACTGCTTTTGCATCAAGGGACGCAAAGCGGTCACTGGACGCTTGAACTTTGGGCTCTACAGAAACGCTGGCTGTATTTCCTAGTTCAGGGGCCATCTCAGAACGGTTTTCAGCTTCAACGGCTGTTGTGAGTAATAATAATAACAAAACTAGGTGGGTGTATGAAAGTCATAACTATTATAGAGTTGCAATAAATGTTTTTTACTCTGTTAAAAATTGATTTTGTTTTGTTTTTCCCTTTGGCCAAGCCCAAAAAAATTACTTTGATTATGATTGTGTAATGAATGGAAAAAGGTAAATTAAATTTACCTTCAAATTCTTGAATTATCTCAGAAAATGTCTCGTCGTCCCATTCACTCAATATTTCATCGAAATCTCCGATGTGGAAGTCAGGGTAAATTTCCATCTGTTCCTCCATGTTGATGATTTCAAAAGTAGTTCCATTAATTAATGTATACATACACGGTGATGAGACCCCCAAAATTCAGTGATGTTATGCTCATTCGACAACACTTTTTAACTAATCAGATCAGGGAACATACCTACTTTTATGTTACAATACAGAATCATTGCAGGGGAAATCCTAACAGAGCAGAAGCATGGTATTTGCCCAATAAACTGGATTGTTTATGAAGTGCAGTTATTTATATTTCTACAGTTTTACATTTTCAACTTCACTCATGTAATGTTTTTTTCTAATATAGAACAAAATTGTTTTTGTATAGTCTGGCCATGAAACCAATATTGCAGATGATCAAATAATACAGACACATTGTGATTGGCACAGTAATTCAATTTCCTCTGGTTTTGGAATTCAAAATTTAAACATTTGTAAAAGATAAAGTCAGGTATCTGGAATAAGATGCTGTCATCACTTGTTGTGAGAAAAGATACAAATGTATGCATGCTAGGATATTCATAATGCATGGGCAAATATCTTGACCTTAAGTCAGAATTAGGTGAACAGAAACAAATAGTATATGATATTTATCATCTTCTCAACAGGAATTGGGCGGTCGGGTAGCCTAGTGGTTAAAGCGTTCGCTCGTCACGCCGAAGACCCGGGTTCGATTCCCGACATGGGTACAATGAGTGAAGCCAAATCTGGTGTTCCCCGCCGTGATATTGCTTGAATATTGCTAAAAGCGGCGTAAAACCATACTCACTTACTCACTCAACAGGAATTACATGAAGTGTCAGTAAAATCTATGTTTGTATTTTAAAATCATTTAATCATTTCAAAAACATCTAAATATTGTAAAAGCTCGTTTTAAATGTACAGGCTTAATTAATGACATATGTTGTTCAGGATGTAATATGGATTTGAACTGTTCAGTAACAATCTACCCGTTTTCTAATTTTGTCATTTGCGTTCGTATTGGTGAACACATAGATCTACATGACGTTGTCTTATCAAAGTATGAAATAATCTTACCTGGAATTCCACCAAACTATAAAATGGAGTTTCATCCTGTTGTAGTTCTCTTTACAGCCATTAAAGATCAGTGAGCATCTGTTCCTTTGGTAGCAATTCGGTTCGTGTGCGCCACCGATCCCACTCATCAGGTTCAACTCTTTGGGTGCGTTTTGGTGAAGTGGTCGAGTTTCAGAAACACTATAAATGTCATTGAAAAATGGCATTACTTTAAACAACGTCGCTAATATACAGATTTAAACAAGCAAATAGTAGCCAGCAGTAGAATTAGTTCTTATTTATACATATTGAGTGTGTTATTACGAAATGAAACGATTTAGTAATGTTTATGAATGTGAGAACCGTCTGCTCGAATACATCATTTCTCATGCTTTCCATGCTTGCCGTCAGAGGCGACAATGCTTATCGTTAAGGGCATCTAACGGGATCGCGTGGTCGGGCTCGCTGACTTGGTTGATGCACGCCATTGTATCCCATTTGCGTAGATCGATGATCATATTGTCAATCACTGGATTGTCTGGTCCAGACTCGATTATTTTCAGACCGCCGCCATATAGCTGGAATATTACTGAGTGCCGGGTTAAACAAGAAACAAAACCAAATATCACTGAGACCAATTTTGGCAAAAAAACCATTCTACATCTTGGAATGTGTATTTCGGAGTTCCTGCAACGTTGTTGTTGGATTTGGAAGACGTCTCAAAGATCGTTTCATTTCATTCTCGACGTACTAGATTGGTTTCAAATCAGGGGCTCTTACAGACCAGGTCGACACATGAAGATTCAGAAGGAACCGTGACTCACCGCGAGTGTTGTCTACACCTCTGGAGACGTGGACGTTGGTGTTCTGACGTCAGGATTGGCCGTCTGGCTAGGCGCCTCACTCGTATGCCAAACATGCATAGACGTCATTGGACCGTCTTTGCAGATACGCCTCTGTTTCCAAGCAGGGTACGGGCTGTACAAGTTGTTGTCTGGAACCTGTGTCGAGGTTGCGTGGTTCGAATCCAGATGTCCTGGTGGGCCACTACGGGGACGGTCACTCACGTGGTTGTTGGTTGCGTTTCTTCCAGCTTTTTCACAAACATTTTCTCTGGTTCCAATAAAAAAAATCCACGTCACATTAACTTTTGCCTTTGAGCATATATACTCAGGAAAAAATAAACGCAATAGTGACTTTAGATGTACATTTTGTTTTATAAAAAATAATCAACAGGTGGTAATCTTTTGTTCAAAATTGGCACACATTGTCATTGGCCCAGATTCCATTTGGCACACATGGAACAGTAGATTTTCAAGGTGAAGGTCATCTGTTCTCAATATACCTTTTAATGGCCACCAAAACCGATGAAAGCAATCAGATCCAGTCTGCCTGAAATGCTTGTGCCAACTGTTCGAGGTTCTGTGGTTGTTGCTGACGTGCTCGCAGTCGTTGATCCAATGCATCCCACACATGTTCAATCAGATTTAAACCTGAGGACCTGGAGGGCCATGGCAGGACCTGGATGTTTTGATTACTGAAGAAGGCTGTTGTCAGTCTTGCTCTGAGGTCGGGCGTTGTCTTGTTGGAAAATGACGTTCGCTTGTTGCATAATGGGAAGGACGTGTGGCCGAAGAATCTCACCTATGTAATCTTGTGCCGTTAAATTCCCACGAACTTGCACCAAATCTGTTCTACCAGTGTATGAGAAGGCTGCCCACATCACCACCCTACCACCACCAAATCTGTCCACTCCCTTTATGCAGTTTCGTGCATGCATAACGTTCCCCGCGACGCCTGAAAACACCACGTCTACCATCCGCATGGCGAAGCATATAAACGTGACTCGTCACTGAACCAAACTTGTCTCCATTGCACTTGTGACCGTACTCTGTTACCTTGACACCATTGACGTCGCAGCTGACGATGCAGTGCGTCAAAATGACACCTCGAACTGGTCGTCTAGCGCGAATACCTTCACCGCGTAAACGGTTCCTCACTTCTAGGATAACATCCTACGCAATCCAGGTATTCGGGATCGGATGGTAAGGCTCGCTGACTTGGTTGATGCATGTCATCGATCCCAATTGCGTGGATCGATGCTCATGTTGTCAATCACTGGCCTGTCTGGTCCAGACTCGATTATTTACAGACCGCCGTCATATAGCTGGAATATTGCTGAGTGCGGCGTTAAACATCAGACAAACACACAATCCTGGTATCACTGTAGTTGTAGAGGTGGCCGTGGTGGTTCTTTCACGCAAGTGACGTAGCCGTATGAACTGGGTTGACCTGATCTGGGAAGGTCACGTGTTGTTCAGTGTTCTGATAACGGTTCCACAGTCTTGTAATGGGCGCTTGGTGATACGTGGAAAAACCTGGATACAACTGAAGATGATTCTCCTGTTTGCAGTCTTCCGATTGCGTTGTTGCGCTGGGCTTCCGTCAGTCGTGGCATGTTTTGCTTACTTGCAGTACAATTGTAATGGCATTCAAATGAAAATGACACGTTTTTATTGTCCAACAAGTGTCTGAGTGCGGCGTTAAACAACAAACCAACCAACCAACCCAACGAGTGATGTTGCACGTGCAAGTCATGTTGGTGTGTTTCGCCGCTAGGCTCTGACGTGGGTCTGTTTTTTGCGATTTTTCCATCTTTTCACAAAATGTCAAGAGTACCTAATTCTTTACACACATATCAATCCCAATTCAGTTTTGGCATCAATTTGTGTATTGATGTCGGCAGCACTCAGTCAGATATTTACGATTTTACTCCTTTTGCAGAGTATGTTAAACAAATAAATGATATTTCGACGGTTAAAATCGGATAAACGCCTCCTCTTCTATTTGGGTTCATATAACACTCTCAGATTTACTGTTGTACTTGCTCGGTCACTGCTTCCCTCAGGTCTTACTTTGTCAACCAAACCCTCGGAGTAGTGTTTTATCCCTTGCGTGGCTCCGGGAATAAGGCTATGCAACTTGGTTGAATATGTGTCATTGAACCGACTTGTTTGACGGTGCTCTTAATAATAGTGGAGAAGTTACTCGGATCTGTTGATTCGGAAAGTAGAATCAACAAGCCTCGAACCGACTGTTAGAGTTGATATTTAATTTCTCCACATTTTTACATAATGATCTATAGGTGCGTCAGTTAAATTTACTTGTTAAATTGCACAATCAGCAAGGACAGAGAACTCTTGGCTCAGAATCAACTGCAAAACCCCAGACATGCTACCACATGGACAAGGTAAATGAGGTAACTGAAGCGGACATAAAATATTTACACGAGTACGTGCTCAAAACACACAGCCGCCCTCGTCTTCTCTTCCACAGGAACCAAGTTTTCTTGTTTGCTGCATAACGCCGCAACTACTAGTTTGTTTGTTTGTTTGTTTGTTTAACGCCCCAGTCAGCAATATTCCAGCTATATGACGGCGGTCTGTAAATAATCGAGCCTGGACCAGACAATCGAGTGATTGACATCATGAACATCGATCCGCGCAATTGGGATACGATGAGATGCATCAACCAAATCAGCGAGCCTACCTACCTGATCCCGTTAGTATCCTTTTACTACAAGCATAGTCACCTTTTACGGGCATGGGTTGCTGAGGACCTAGTATGACGGAGGAGGGTAAGGGAGTGGATGGATAGGGGAGTCGATCTGATACAGAACGAGCGAGAACGGATGTGGCGTGTGACAGAATACTCTCTGTAAAACCTCTTAAAAGACGTGCCTGCTGCAAACTACCGATCCTGACACTGAACCAATCAGATTGCACCTACCAGACGCTCATGACAGGCGGTCCGACACGTCTCTTCACTGTTTAACCCCGCATTCGGTAATATTCCAACTATATAACGATGATCTGTATATATTATGGTCTGGAACAGACAGTCCAGTGATTGACATCATGAGCATCGATCGACAGAATGTAGCTGTCTGCGTGTAGTGCTCCATGTGGTGCGCCGTGACCATGAATGACATGACTCTCGCTCGCGACTTTCAAACTGGACATTTAGTGTTGATGCACCAATCACAACGTACTATGTTTGAACGCGTGTTTGCTTTACCTTCGTAAAGTGTGCCATTATGAAAGTATATGATAAGATTTGAAGGTAGTTTGCCATACAGACTCTGAAACCGATATATCCTACACAGCACTTGCAAGTCTATACTAATAGTCTAGATCACTGCATTTTCTGAAAATTAAGAGAGTCCCTGGGTGAGGTGAGGTGAAATTGGGTTTAACGTCGCGTCCAAGATTATTGCACTTATATAGCGACGTGCATACACGTGTGTGTGTGGATGCTTGTACTAGTCCGGACTGATGCCGATTTATAGTGCTAGCTCACTGAGATGCCATACCGCAGTTTAACATGAATACCCAACTCAGACACAGTATACTGACTCCGAGCCGACCAGTCCTTGTTTTAGCCCCTTAATGCCGAGCGCCAGACAGGGTAACAACAAGTACCATCTTTTCACGTCTTTTGGTATGTTGCGGCCGGTGATCTAATCCCGGACCTTCGGGCGGACGCTCTACCACAAGAACACGGAGGCGGTCAGAGAGTCCCTGGACTCCTTATTATATGCCAGTTATGGCAACCCCCGTCTTTCGCTGTCATTTTGTCCATACACCCCCTTCCCTATAATTATTTAACGACCATATTTTCTGTAAATAATAATTATCATTTGAGAGACAGGATGCTAGTCTAATTAGAAGGCAGTGGTATGCTGAAACTAGTTCAAAGCTTTGTTGCTAAGCGCGTCGCCAGCTTAACCTTAACCTCTACACAAAGTACGCCATATGTTGGTGGTTGCTTTAATCTGGATAAAAAGTAAGGGAATTTGATAAAATATGGCTTGAAAGGCGTAACCTTGGCATCATTTAAATATTCTCGCATTCTGACATTTGTAAGTGTAAACCAGCTATTTGTTTATCTGGTGTTTACTGATATGATGTTGCTGTCTACCTGATTCAATAACTGAGTGAGTATTATTTTACACCGCATTTAGAAACATTCCTGCAATATCCTGTTCGGGGGAAACAGAAATGGGCTTCACACATTGTAAACATAGTGAATCGAACCAGGGTCTTCGGCGTGTCGAGCGAACGCATTAACCACAAGGCTACCCAACCGCCCCTCAATAAAAGAGTTTCAGTATGTGTCTGGGTAACATCAGTGCGATTGACAGTGAGTAAAATATTAGGAGATAAACACAGTGTTTTTCCAATGTAGCGCTAGGTTATCTGCAGATTTTGCCGCGCTAAATTAAATTTGAAAACGCACGCAGCTCCAAATGGAGTTGATTTCATATCCTCATGATCAAACGATAACTTTCACTACGTGTGAAGATCCGGTTTAAAATTGGTCTTCAGCAACCCATGCTTGTCGCAATAGGCGACTGTGCTTGTCGTAAGAGCCGATTAACGGGATCGGGTGGTCGCTGACTTGGTTGATGCATGTCATTGTATCCAAATTGGGTAGATCTATGCTCATGATGTCAATCACTGGATTCTCTGGTCGAGACTCGATTAATTACCGACCGCCGAGATAATAAATAATTTTATTGAGATGACGAGAATTCACTGAGGATATCATTATTGTCGTTCTGTGCATAATTTATTCATACAATGTGTCTACCAGTGTGTGGTAGCAAGACCAGTGCACAACGAATTTATCTAAGCGCACACCTAATTACATTGTAGGTATGTCTTATTCATGCTAGCTGTGGCACGGATCGCTAGGAATACGTCAGTTAGGCATTTAGTCACTTCGTTTATTTTTCACTATCATCGAACAATAGCAGTCGACAGAAAACAAACTTAGAGTTATTCCCCACAGATCTGTTTCATTCGGAAAATATCGTAAATATCCGGAAAATGGCGTCTTAAATCATTATTCGAGATACAAACTTGTGGTTGGTATGTTGCAAATGTAATGCCAACAGTTTGGCAATTCGAGCGGGGAGCATAAGAAATATACCATACTTGGTAGCGGGGTGTATTGAAAATAACAGATTGAGTCTCAGCCAATGAGAATCCAACATTCATGTGTAAGATAACAGCAAAGTTACAGTTCCCGAACAGCCACGTCGTTAAAGACATCAACATATGACGCCTGATACACGTTTCTCGAATAGTAGTATATTCATCTAGAGATGAATGTTGTCCAATCAGGGTTGTCCATCAGGTTTGTCCATCAGGCTTGTTCGTCGGGGTTTAACTTCACGATTGTCTTGTCGGTGTCAGGGTCCATATACTCCTTCCCAGTGTTGTCAACATACGTTGTGCACGACTTGATGGCGGCGTCTGGAACCTGCAACAAGGCTTTATCATTGAGATAAGTAATTTGTGTTTGTATTTGCTATGTTGTAAATCCTCGTGCCGTAAATGTAGTTCAGTCGTGCAAAAAGGGCGGTTATTTTTTGGACAGAGAGACGATTAATGATTGGTAAATGTTGTAATGTTGGTCGGAAATTAACCTTTATAATAGTCTAAATGGCCCCAAAACTCTAGCACCAACCAACCAGACAAGCAACCAACCAGTTGTTGACATGTGTTGATGGTTCAGTTCACTTTTTTAGTTGGTCTATATAAAAGGAATGGCGTAGTGAAATACACGAATGGTAGTTAATTTGGAAATCTGCCGCTTGATGTCCTCAAACATAATGGCTGTTTGGGAAGAATAACAAATGAAACTTTTGACAGAATAACGTTCTGATGACTAAATGAATGTTTGGTCAGAATAACGTTCTGTTGACTAAATGACTTTTTAGGCAGAATTACGTTCTTAAAGTTGGCTTCAAGATAAAATGCAATTAAGAATTATCTTTTCCAGTCAACAAATTCTTCTTGGTCTCTGTCACAGAAATAACGATCCAATAAATATAATTCTAATTCTTTACAAATCTACAGTTAACTACGTTTATAACGAACACGCTTATAACGAACTGACGGATATGACGAACTTATTATTTTGCCCCGACCACTGCTGTATCTATGCTTATAACGAACTAAAATTAATGGCCCCTCGTTATAACCATAATGGAGTTCGTTATAACCGTAGTTTACTGTATTATATTCAAGTATAAATCCACAAAGCCTATGCCAAATTTTCGGGTTTTGCAACAGGAACTCTTGATCTCTAGATCTATGTCCTTTTCAAAATTTCCAGCTAGAAGTTCCAGAATTGACTGCTACTATCAATTCTGGTAATGACCTATTTATTATCTAATGTCATGTTTAAGATCTATATTATCTTTGCAACTGCAATGTATATGTAACCATGTGCAACATGTACAAAAATGCAACAACAACAAAAGAATAACGTTCTGGTGACCTACAATATCTAGCTTGGTGTAGAGAGGATGGTGATGTTCGAACGCCGGGTTGTTGGAGCGTCGGTTGTAGGCGGGGATGAGGACCCAACGTCGGTCGTCGCTGGTGTTGGCGCTGCTGTTGTGCAGGAGGTTGGAGTGGAAGAACAGGGCGTCACCTGGTGGAATTGTCAATGCGATATGGTCAGATTAGAACTTGTCTACCTACCTAATAGACCTTACCAAAAATACCAAGGGCCACTGGATAGCATGTGGCTGAAGCGTTCGCGTGTCGCGACGGATATCCAGTTTCGATTGCCAATATACCTGTTAAATATGACCTTGCCGTGATACTCACTCAATTACTTACACACATTTTCTCACTCACTAACACCAACACTCTCATTCACTCACACACATTCACACTCTCTTAGTTCTTACACAAAAAAGTTTATATAGAACGAAAGGCATGTGAATTCCAGAAACGCTTTCGTCAAGAAGCTTTATATATGTATCAAAGTGTCCAGATAAACAAGGTATACACGACTTGTAAACACGTTAAGTACCCAGTACTTTGTGAAATATGGTAATCTCAGAGAGTTTATGGAGAGTCCAACTGAAAATAATTGGCTGGATTGGCTATGATTGTGCGTCTCACGGAAGAAAGTCCTCAACAGCTGGTTTGATTAATGATGTATTCAAGACCACAAGGCCTGCACCTCCTGTCTGACGGCATGACGATCATCAAAAAGTGAAACTGAATATTGCACTATGCTCGACATCGTAAAATAGAACCTCGGCCAGCGCTATTGGATGTTGGCAAAAGTTTCATGCACGTGACTATCACATGATACAAATCAACCGGGATGGTTGATTGTTTAAATTCTTTCTTTGATTTTGTCTTTAAATAAAAGCGGATACCTTTCCGTTAAGCACAGAACAACCTGTCTACAAAAAACGACCGTCAAGTTATATAAACCACATGCAATATCACTACTCTATTATACCGGAGTGGATCCGAGTGTGGCAACTGGTTAACAGTAAAACTACGACTGAGCCCAGTCCAATAAATTAAAATGAACTCGGCATTCTTAGGGTAATATGAAGTCTGTCGCTGTCAGAAATAACACTGAAAGGCGCAACATTTGTGAGTGAGTGAGTTTTACGCCACTTTTAGCAATATTCCAGCAATATCACGGCGGGGGACACCAGAAATCATCTTCCCGAGGCAAGGGAGTTAACTGACTGTGAAAGGTACAATTTCACCCCTTGCCGGCTGCAATTATGGAGTTATTGGCTGGACTAACGAGTCTATGCAAAGTCAAATCAAAATCGCGTAACGAAATCGACATCCGGTTTATAAACATGGATTTCAACGTGCAGATTTCGGTCGACTGCAGGATTAACAAAAGATGTGTACCGTCAACTGGGCGTCTACATATGTTTCGCGAGTTAAAACCCGTTTTATAACAATATATATCTTGATCATCGATCAGATCGTCTTGACTGGGTGCCGCCATTTTTTTTTTTAGCAAATGCAAGTGATATGAGAGGTGGAATCTGATTGGTCAATAGAAGGGACATAATTCGTAACAGCCACTAGAGGACGCTACAACCGAGCCCAGAAATTCCAGCCTAGTTCGGCAAGGGTAGAAACTGGACTTTTACAGTCAGTTAACTCCCTTGCATCGGGAAGATGCCAGAAATGGGCTTCACACATTATACCATTGTGGGGAATCTAACCCGCTTCTTCGGCGTGACTAGCTCCACGCTTTAACCACAAGACTACCCCACGGCCCTTTTACAATAATGAATACTGCAGGTTATGCATTCTAACATTGGACTTCACCTTGCTGCAGCTCCACGTATTTCAAGTGACAGATGTTCTTGATGAGCTCCACCCGGTCGAGGTCCGCCCCAGTCTGTCCCCCGACCCGCAGGTGCTCGATCCGCCCACACTTGTGCGACTTCTCCAGGACCTGCCATGAGAGTCAGAGGTGTAATAACAAACACTAGCAAAAGAATGTAAACATAAACAAAATATGTAAAAAATGGACAAAATATATTACAGCCTGTTTATAATATTGCAGTCATTTGTTTTACAGCCGACAGAAAGTATTGGGAACGCTGGGATCATTATGTTCTGGTATAGGCCCCTACTGTAATACTATAGTCCTAAATGAAGCAAGCCCACATTGTCCATATGTTCTGAATCTCCCATCTCACTGGGGCTCCTTGTCATTTTAAATACGTTTGCTTGTTATACCAAATAATCAAAATGATATATCTTCAGAGACTTAGCATTAGCCTAGGAATATGGTTTGGTTCAAGCGTTCGCTCGTCACGCCTAATACCCGGTTCAATTGTTTTAGTGAGTGAGTGAGTATGGTTTTACGCCGCTTTTAGCAATATTCCAGCAATATCACGGCGTGGGATACCAGAAATGGGCTTCACACATTGTACCCATGTCGAATATTTACAGACCGCCGTCACATAGCTGGAATGTTGCAAAACAAGCAAAAACAAACAAACAAACCTGCAGACATCCGTTAGCCTGCTCACACTTGTCAATGGCGATCATCACACTCATCAGGTCAGGAGTCAGACAACCGTTCTTGTACCAGTAACTAACATAGAAATAAAAGCGACAAAATTCAATTCAAAATCATAAGAAATCTCGGCTAAAAGCAGAGTCGATTGTACGATTCCTACTATATCATGAGCGTGTGTTTATGAGTTATTATCAAATAGTGATGACACTATTCTGCTGTGAGATAAGATGGATGTGTACCCATAATCCTGGTGCCAGACAAACTTCCCGCCCGTTCTCGCTTCTTTCATGATCACCTTGGAGTGGTAGTGATACACCTCGCCTTCCATAAGCTACAATGGAGGACCAAATCATTGAAGGTGACTGTAACAATTAGTTTCTAATTTAATTAATTTGCATATTCTAATAGAAATATATTTCATAAACAAAAGCGCTTTTGAAAGATGGCTTAACGACCGCAGCGTCTGTTTGATTCAATGTTTGTTTGTTTGTCTGTTGTTTAACGCCGCACTCAACAATATTCCAGCCATTAGACGGCGGCCCTGTAAGTAATCTAGTCAGAACCAGATAATCCAGTAATTGACATCATGAGCATCGATCCACGCAATTGGGATACGATGACATGCATCAACCAAGTCACCGAGCCTGACCACCCGATCCCGTTAGTTGCCTCTTACGACAAGCATAGTATGACGTCACTGTTCACTATTTTGTCCAACATCAGCGCAACGCGTGTGACGGGCGCTGCCAGAGTTCCCTGGTCTGTGGAATCCTAGAAGGAACATTGTCGTGCTTTCGTTAATTTTAACACTTTTTGCTTGTTTTTGTAAAGGCAAGTGTCACTTCGAGGATTCCATACTTTTCACGGACCAAGTCTGGCAAGATTAGCGTTGCGCCATCTCTATGACCTGTGGAGGAAGACGTTTGGGGCGATCTATTCCGACAGTTCGTGAAATGTATGTCAACTCAGGGGCCCTTTATTTATTTACAATATCTTAGCAGCTTTGCTTGAGGGAATACTTCTGTCAATTCGTTTGATGGAATATATTGTTTAAAAAATGTGGTTTGGTGTGCACAAAATCTATTTTGTATTGCTGTTTAATAATATGAGTCTTTCATAAAACTCTAGCAAATGTTGTACATCATCTTTTTCATTTACCTTCTCACAGGTTCCTGCAATCTTCTGACTCCGTACGACCATTCCAGCTACGTCATTACCGGGATGGCTCCACACGCATGCGCGGCTTCTGCGCTCGCTTCCGTCAGAGAGCTGCAGTATACAACATATACTTGAGAATTGACCTACATATGTTTTGGCGTTTATGGAGGTATAAACTTCGTGATATATGTTTCTGTTTGTGTGAGTGAGTGAGTGAGAGAGAGAGAAAAAGTGTGTGTGTGTGTGTGTGTGTGTGTGTGTTTATTCACATATGTATGGAGCATCCGTCAACACAGTACTTACAAACTGTTGAAGGCGACGTTAAACTGACTCGCAGAGCCGAGATAAAACAGGAATACGTGTTAAGTCTATTGCTGGTGAACCCCCCAAACATATATCCATGTTTACAAACCGCCCAAACGACGTAAATGCTCACAAGAGATTATGAACTTGGAGCATTTCTGACCAGGAGTCACAAGCCTTGGAAGCCAACGTGCTGAAACCTTTGTCATGCGCCGTTCATTCCTGAGAATGTTCTCAACCCTCTCATGAAAGATGGCTACTGTATTGTGGGTCGTCAGTCATCCGTAATCATATCATGTATGTATATATACATTTTCCTCAGCATGGAAGGCTGTTGGAATTAGCCCTTTTAGTTGGAGATACATTTGACATTTTCATCAACAGAGAATACCTATTCACATTGATGTATGCAGAAATATGCTGCCTAGTTATGTATTTGGTTCAAATTCAGCAAGGAGCATGGAATGTATTGTAATTAATACATGCAAACTGCTAAGGGTGTACTATACATCCTCCGTATTTAGGACCCGAACTTTTCAGCCACCCGTCGTTCATGTCCTGTGGGGGCGGTCGGGTAGTCTAGTGGTTAAAGCGTTCGCTCGTCACGCCGAAGACCCGGGTTCGATTCCCGACATGGGTACAATGTGTGAAGCCCATTTCTGATGTCCCCCGTCGTGATATTGCGGGAATATTGCTAAAAGCGGCGTAAAACCATACTCACTCACTCACTCACTCACTCACTCATATCCTGTGTGCGGGATCTTGATTGATGCTGTGCCTAACCCGGAGATCGTGCGTTCAACGTCTCATTGTTCGACGAAAATAACACTGTATACTGTATATGTGTTGAGTGCTTGTCAAATTAAAGTGCAATGAATGAGAAGGAAAGTTGATACCAGAGTTAAGGTATCACAACGAGGCTACCTACGGCGTCACCAAATGACAGCCATTGTTAGACACGGTTCGGCGCTTGACATTTAAACTGTTGTCTTGAGTAGGCAAACTGACACCGTTCTTAAAGAATTCAGTCTTACGGCGTAATATGAATAAACGCGCTGTTTACTTTTACAGCGCACAGCATCGTGTATACAGTATAAACAACGTGGCGGTTCTAGATTCTTACGCCAATGGGGATTCCGGGTCGGACTGGAGCTCACACCTTATGCTTGTGATAAGTGAAAGAGTTAAGGATACAGTATTCCAGTTACATCACGTCGTGTCTGCTTGATGTGGGAGGGAAGCCTGAAGTGCTTTGATAAATCCACGAGCAAGGGTAGGGTACTGATAAGATAAAATACATAATCGGGGCGAACGGGATTCGAACCCACAATCATAGGTTCCTGGTGTGCCTGAGGGACGCAACTCTGCACAGCAAATTGCGGCGCTTTAAATTTGCCCAACGGGACAAAAAGAATACCGGTTTCACTGTGCCACATGTCTCAAAAGTCGACCTGAGATCGGGGGTCATCATGCGACCTGGCTGCAGTGCCTCATCGTGTCCCCATGGTAGGGTTTATTGTTCATGCTATCAACCACTGCTGCGACTGGCTTAAGGGAGATTATGTGCGTGTCGAGTGATATAGCCGGAACAGCTGATTACGGCGTAAAACGACATGCACTTTATCACTCACTGTTTCTGTGATTTTAGGTTTGTCAGCATGGTACCCTTGATCGTGGGTAAACGTCGTGGTAAACGTCTGTGACCTGCATCACTTCGGGCTTTCCACCCACATCAAGCTGACATGCTGTGTAACTGGAATACTGTTCGAAGTGGCGTTTAACCAAACTCACTCAACCACTCCACAGTGTTTGCCAATGGTTGTGTCAATCGTAACCGAAGCAGAAGTTCTGCAGAGGAGATGTTTCTACATCTTCCCGAGGCAAGGGAGTTAACTGGAAACTGGACTTTTACAGTCAGTTAACTCCCTTTCCTTGGGAAGATGATATTTCTACAGCATTTAGTGACTACAACCTGTACAATTACCAAGACCACGGCAACTTTTAAGTAATCGAGCCTTGTCCAGGCAAACAGAAAAGCCGAACACCACACCGGACGTCAAGCAATATTCACTCACTCACTCGTCCAAACTTCTCACCTCAAACGAATTCTGCATCAGCTCCTCATTCTCCTCAATACTCCTCCTCAGTTTCGTAATTTCCTCCGAGTCCAAAATACCTCTGAAAACATCAGACTTCATTAGAAATAAGAACTGTCAGCCTCGGAAGTAGAACGTGCATTGTTTGTTCTATCCAGCCTGGAGATTGTAATACTATTCTTTTGTTTACAGATCGCTGTCGTATCCAGAAGTACTGCTGTGCGGCGCTAGGAAGCAAATAGTTACTTGTTTACACAAATTATGTGAGTTGCGGGTGCTACCGGAATAGCAGGATCTGCTTACTCTTGTATCAAACACCTGGTGTTGTCATTGATTTTCAGTGATCCATTCAAGTTATGTTCCCCCACTTTTTGCCTTTTACGCCCAATGGAATCTGTCTCGTAGATAATCGAGACCAGTTAAGGACGTGTTATATTTCATGGAGTCGTTTGACATTACGTTATTAAAATACACAGTCGTTATCCAACCAGTGTACGGCCTGCAGTTCATTTAAGTAATTATTTATTAAGCCTTATTTAAGTAATGGGATGAACATAACTTTCATATTTATAAACAGTAGGGTTAGACCTTTGAAATGTCATGTAGTCGCAAGGGTGTTTTATAAGCTGACTGGACCGCCTCCGTGGTCTAGTGGTAGAGCGTCCGCCCGGAGAGGGGAAGGTCCGGGGTTCGATCCCCGGCCGCGTCATACCAAAGACGTTAAAAGATGGTACTTGTTTTTACCCTGTCTGGCGCTCGGCATTAAGGGGCTAAAACAAGGACTGGTCTGCTCGGAGCCAGTATACTGTGTCTGAGTGGGGTAGTCACTATAAATCGGCATCAATCCGGACTAACGCACGCACGCACGCACGCACGCACACACACACACACACACACAGTGAATAATCTTGGACGCGACGTTAAACCCAATTTCACCTCACCTCACCTATAAGCTGATAATCACCACTTCATCTGTCACCACCGAGTCTCTTGGAGCGCGGTGTCATAGCAGTAAAAAGGTTCTGATGGAGCGGTTGTGTTTTGTAATTTATATTGCAAGAGTACGTCTCCCCGCTTCAGCTAAAATGTTTGGGCCTACAGCCCTTAAGGCTCTCGGTTTACTCTGCTGAGTTTCAGAAACTGTACCCTACCATAACCTGTAGACCTATGTTTTAACAAGCATTAGATTACAAGAGATTCTCAGGTTTCATTAACACAACAAAAGTAAATACGGCAAAATAGACGTGAAGCATCCTTCATCTTATTGGATTAACAAAACTAACTAGGGCATGCCAATACATTTCAATACAACGTCAATACATGGCGTATGGCAAATCAGTATTCTGAAATATTATAACGTTACCTTACAATGGCAGATCTATACCCTGAAACACTAAAATATGACCTTATATCACGATATATCCGCATTGTTCAATAAATAACAATACCTTCCAATGATATACCGTATTTTCTCTATTACAAGCCGGGTCTCCAATACACGCCGGCCTCAATTTGACGCCAGGGTGACGTTGTATAAACCGACCTTAGCGCTACGGCTGTCGTAAGTCTATATTCAGGTATTAGAGTTAAGACCACGTTAGCGCTAAGATCGCTTTGTACAACGGCACCCTGGTCATGTACTAAAAAAATAGAAGCCGGGCCTGTATTTGGCGCCGGTTCTCTCTAACAGAGGATGGCTCCACCATTTGATGAAATTAATGATCCCAACCACTTTAACTCTCGGCGTGTAGTGATTATTCCCTTCACTTTATACAAATGACCGTTTCCTGCAAATGTACCCTTTGTATGTCTGTAGAATTTTGGATTCGGTAGGGTAGTGAGTCACCACTGTGCCAGCATTAAATGGAATAGACGCCTGGTCAACGGCTTGCGCGAAATGAATAGACTAATAGAGGAAATATTATAATAGTATATAAATTTTCTGCCAAAAAAAAGTCAGTACCTAACTATGATATATCCATATTCTTCAAAAGCAATCCGCATGTCTTCCGTGGCCTGAAAACCAGATCCATATGAGTATTCTGTAATAAACCAAATATTTTTTATATTTAATGTTGCACACAATGAATGTTTTTGCCACCAGTCTAAAGCATATAAATGTTTCTTTCAAGCATTTCTGTGACAATTTATTTTTTTCGTAAAATTCCAGCTTCCCCCCAAGAATATAAACTGTTCAGTCCCTAACGTCATTAGACGGTCAGATTCGGTGACTTGGTTACAACTGACGCAGGCCATCGTATCTCAATTCATAAACACAAGAGTACAAGTTGAGGCAGGGAAAACTAATATAGGTGTGACACAGATACATCCGACTGCTACCTTTGAAATCAATGTTTATTTATAATCTTTGTTATTTCAGTCATCTATTGTTCTTCAACTTGACGACTTGAATAGAAAATAAATAAAATAAAAAGCCTTCCTCCCTAGTTTCACACATGGCAGTAACAGTGGAATATGTCACCTGTCAACACCAATGTCGATATGATCCTGTAGTACGTACAGCTAGCTGCGATGTATGGAATAATATTTAAACGAGTCTGGACCAGACCATCGAGTGATTGATATCGTGAACAATCCACGCCTTGCGGGACACGATGACATACAATCAAGCAAGTTACAGAGCCTGACCACCCAATCCACGCCTTGCGGGACACGATGACATACAATCGAGCAAGTTACAGAGCCTGACCACCCAATCCACGCCTTGCGGGACACGATGACATACAATCAAGCAAGTTACAGAGCCTGACCACCCAATCCACGCCTTGCGGGACACGATGACATACAATCTAGCAAGTTACAGAGCCTGACCACCCAATCCACGCCTTGCGGGACACGATGACATACAATCTAGCAAGTTACAGAGCCTGACCGCCCAATCCACGCCTTGCGGGACACGATGACATACAATCAAGCAAGTTACAGAGCCTGACCACCCAATCCACGCCTTGCGGGACACGATGACATACAATCTAGCAAGTTACAGAGCCTGACCACCCAATCCACGCCTTGCGGGACACGATGACATACAATCTAGCAAGTTACAGAGCCTGACCACCCAATCCACGCCTTGCGGGACACGATGACATACAATCTAGCAAGTTACAGAGCCTGACCACCCAATCCATGACTGGCATGAGGGAAGTCGTTAACTCAAAACATATTTCCCTCGTCCTAACACGAATATCTTTTGTGTGCATGTATGATTAGTTTTTGATATGATAACGTACCTGTCTTCATACTGACGGCTGTATCCGACTATTCCCCTGCAGTAAAGAAGGTGGTATCTTATGTAAGCATTTGCAAAATGCAGTTGAAACAAGTAGTAATCAGAGACTCGAGAAACGTCATTCGGCACATCTTAGTCGATTGCTAGGCTATCTCGGCCAGCCGTGTAGTTACACGATATGTACAATTCTACACGTGTGATATTAATGATATATAATGGTACACGTGTGTTATTAATGATATATGCAATGGTACACGTGTTATTAATGATATATCCAATTTTACAGGTGTGTTATTAATGATATATACAAAGGTACGCGTATGTCATTAATGATGTGCAATGCAACATATAGGCTATATACATCGCTCAGATTTTCACTCACTGTAGATATTAATAATGTAATAGATTATGGACAAACACAACTTACACAAGACAGATATACATATACATATACACTCTTAAAAAAGGAAACACACAGGTAGTATGTAGTTCATTGAACCTGACTACACAAAAAAATCCGAACGGGTATATAAATTGGATATATGTTATTGGAATATGTTGGTGGCCTGATATTCGACAAACGGTGCGTCAAAACGCAGCCATTGTCGATTTGCAATGTCTTAAACGGCATTGTTTTCACACTTGTTCAAACATGTCATGGAGGAAAACAGTCAAGCAAAATGCACGTGCAAGTTATGGCATTCGTAACTCGATGTAGTTGCTATAAAAAGGCAAGCTTAAGCCAATAATTTGTCATTCAATTGTCAACATTTCTCAAGTTCGAAAATGCCGAGACTCGGTACTAAAGATCGGAACATCGCCATAGAACGTATCCAAAGAGGGGAATCGCAGTCTTCTGTTGCACGCCACTTCAACGTCCACCACAGCACCATTTGCCGCCTTTGTGACCGATACACACATTTCAATTCCACTGCAGACCGGCCGAGAACGGGCCGACCAAGGGTTACCACCCCTGCTACATTCGACTGTACCACCTACGTCATCGCAATGCCACAGCTACGGAGACTGCAGGACGCATCCCTGGTGTGAGGAGGATATCGGACCAGACTGTCAGGAACCACCTTCGCTAGGCTGGAATCCGACCCAGAAGATCAGTTATCGTCCCTGCTTTGCAACAGATCCTTTGACAGCGACGCTTACGTTGGTGCCATACCTTACAGCCTTGGAATTTGAGAAACTGGAGACGAGTGTGGTTTCGCAATGAACCATGATTTCTTCTTCACCGGCGAGATGGAAGACAACGTGTTTATCGTCGTCAAAATGAGCGTTTTGCCCCACATTGTGTACGTGAATTCGACAATTTCGGTGGCGGTGGTGTCATGGTGTGGGGGGCCATATCCTACACCAGGAGTGGTTGTGGTTCAGGGAAATTTGACATGAATCAAGTTTTTCAACCTCACCTTCTTCCAATCATTGAGCGCCAGAGGTAGCTGTTTCAACAGGACAACGCCCCACCGCACACAGCTCGTGTAACGGTAGACTACCTCCATAATGCCAACATCAACGTTTTGCCCTGGCCGTCGAGATCTCCAGACCTCAACCCAATCGAACGCCTCTTGGATGAACTCGATCGATGTGTACGTCGACGTCAGAACACGCCGCAGACACTCCCACAACTGGCCAACGCGTTACAAGCAGAATGGCGCAGAATTCCGCAGGACAGAATTCGTACACTTATCCAGTCAGTGCCGAGGAGATGCAGAGCCGTGATTACTGCCCGGGGCGATCACACGAGATACTGAGTTCAGCGCAACCTTGTAGCCTTATGTGATATGACAATGAACAGTTTTCAAGGCCTTTGTACAGCGACAACATGTGACTATCGAGCTCCAGAATTTCATATTTTTATCTATGATATTAAATTGAATATATCGACTTGATAAGGTACAATAAATTTACTAAAAATCTACCTGTGCGTTTCATTTTTTGAAGAGTGTATATAAGCACAAAGAGTGTAAAACACCAACTGTCAGATGTAGGTCAAATAGCTGAATTCATTCCAAAATGAAACAAACGTCAATGGCCGAGTGTTTCAACTTTTTAAACATCCTGCATTTTAATAAGATGAAACTAAAGATATAATTTACAGCAACATTGGATAGCAAGAACGCGCTGAGGGTGCCTACCTGTGTTAACGACTCCCAGGTGCTGGCTGCGGGACTGCGCCAGGTGATCTGATGTAGTAACGTATACCACAGACTCATTGTGTCACGGGACTCCAGGAAATGTGACACCAAGGTCGGGGCTGCGTTCACAAGCCAGTGATGTCATATATAATTACACAGGTGTGTGTTCACACAGGCATTGGGTGAAGCGTTACAGTCCATTACAGAAGTAAAATTAGTTAACTAAATACACCGCGCTTGAATCCAGGTTTGAATTGGTCTTCAGAAACCCATGTTTGTAAGAAGCGAAAAACGGGATCGGGTGGTCAGGCTCGCTGATTTGGTTGAGGCATGTCATTGTATCCCAGTCGCGTATATGGATGCTCATATTGTCAATCACTGTATTGTCTGGTCCAGACTCGGCTATAAACAGACCGCCATCATTTAGCTGGAATATTGCTGAGATCGGCAACAAACAACTAACAAGCTAATTTAACTGTATGCGCCTCCGCCCTAGTTTCTCACAAAAGAAGACACCAGATGGCATTGATTGCAGATAGTGTGACGACAGCCACCATCAGCCCATTTTACGTCACAACGTGCTTCTTCACGTTACAGTACTATAAATGTAACTGATAAACTGAGAATAAGGCATTAAGGAGTGTTACGATGAAACAGTTCTGTAATGATTCTGTCAGAGAGACTGGTCAATGCAGCGGCGGGTGTCGGAGTACGTCGCCTCCTGTCTGTGGTGCGGTTACTTCCCCTTCCTCATCACTGGCTTTTCTCTCATCATCTGCTCCTGGGCCGAGGTCGGGCAGAGGTTTTTGGGCGTCCCTTACCATCAGTTCCTGGGTCGGGGGTTGTGGGGCGTCCCTTTTCATCTGTTCTTAGGCCGAGGTTGTGGGGCGTCTCTCGTCATCTATTCCCAGGGCGGGGGTTACGGGGCGTCCCTTTTCATCTGTTCCTAGGGGATGGGGTGGGTGGGTGGGTTACGGGGCGTCCCGTTTCTGGGCCGAAGTAAGGGCGGATGTTGTGGGTCTTCCTGCATAATCTGTTCCTGGGGCGGGGGTTGTGGGGTGTCCCTCAACATCTGTTCCTGGGCCGAGGTAAGGACGGTGTTTGTTTGGCGATCATCCTATCTGGCCCCGACTCCATTACTTACAGACCGTGCAATAAAGTTGGAATATTGCTGCGTGGAGCGTAACACAAAAAGCAAACAAACAGATGGTTCGAGGGAAAACTCGATACGTTGGTCGAACCTATCAGAAGACGGTGATGAATGACCTGGAGCTAGAAAACAGGTGTTCCTAAGTCTTAATATGTACTAACGAAGCTGTTATGCTACCAGGCGGTGTATTCAAGTATAAAAGTACAGGGTAATGTGGTGACGTCAAGTTTTACCTTCGTGTCATTCAAACCAAACTGAAAATGGGGTCCACAGTACTAATAGAAACAGAATGGAGATATAATTCCCTGGATAATCGAGGATGTGCGAACTGTGGCGTAAGAAGAAGAACAAACGTAACGAGAATGTGTCAGTATCCCTTGATCCCCTCTTGCGCAGACTGCTTCCTGGATGTTGCGTTAATCATTGTTCATTGTCCGTTCAGAGGGACGAAACTTAACAGTACAGACATTGGTTGGGGCAGATTCAAATGGCAATGAAAGAAAACACATGCTCCTCATGTAAGTAAGTAAATTCATGCTTTAATACACAACAACCATCAACAATTACATGATAATAAATATATATCAAATCCCTAAACAATATCCGAAATGTCTATATCAACATAAAATACCTTAGGCGTCCATTTACTCCATTTAGGCATGGATTGTTAGATCATATGATAAATGAAGTAAGAAAATCCAATGAAAAATCGAAGAGGTTATGCCCATTATGTCACTCAGCTACATCTTCCCGAAGCAAGGGAGTTATCTGACTATAAAAGTCCAGGTTCCACCCTTGCCGAATTAGGCTGGAATTATGGAGTTATATTTTGGCTGGACTAACGAGTCTATGCATAGTCCAATCAAAATCTGGTTACAAAATCGACATCTGATTCGTAAACTGCCGTGCAAATTTCGGTCGATAGCAGGATTTGCAGAGCATGTATACCGTCAACTGAGCGTCAACATATATTTTCCAAATTGTTTCATATTTTCAGTAAAGGTGTTCACGTGATTTGTTTGCCTAGGCGAAGTAAGACCCGTTTTATTACAAAACAGTTCTTGATTACCGACCAGAACGTCTTCACTTGGCGACGCCATTTTATTTGAAGCAAGTGCAAGTGATATGACGGGTGGAATCTGATTGGTCAGTAGGAGGGACATAGAAGGGAAATAACTCGTAATAGCCTACGATCGAGCCCAGAAATTCTAGCCTAGTTCAGCAAGGTTGGAAACTGGGCTTTTACAGTCAGTTAACTCCCTTGCCTCAGGAAGATGTTCAGCTAAAGCAGGGGCGGTCGGGTAGCCCAGTGGTTAAAGCGTCCGCTCGTCACGCCGAAGACCCGGGTTCGATTCCCGACATGGGTAAAATGTGTGAAGCCCATTTCTGGGCGTAAAAAAACATACTCACTCACTCACTCAGCTAAAGCATATTAAATCCGCTATAATTTTGAATGACATTATTATTGTCATGTAAGAAATCGGAATATGCCATTTATATTAGAACACTATCTGTCAAGTTATTTTGTACCTGCTTGTAATCTCGTTTCTCTTCAAAAGATGCTGCTGTCAGATTAAAACTGGCTTGATATGTCAAACATGACATCTCTCGCAGGAACGAAATGTTAACTATAAAAAAATATCCACATGTGTAAAACTACTTTGATGTAACTCCTATGTATATGGGCCAGGGCCTAAATGCAACACATATTTTCACCTTTGAGAGCATGTTACATTGATGGCATATAAAGAGGTACAACTATCCGAATAACTTCTTCGAACACGTGCCTTCCTTTACACACGTTCCCTTTGTTCCTTCCATCAGTATATGTATAGCTTGAAGTTATTCGGTTGGTTGGTTGGTTTGTTGTTTATCGCCGCACTCAGCAATAGTCCAGCTATATGACGGCGGTCTGTAAATAATCGAGTCTGGACCAGACAATCCAGTGATTAATATCATGAGCATCAATCCACTCAATTGGGATTGATGACATGCATCAACCAAGTCAGCGATCCTGACCACCCGATCCCGTTAGTCGCCTTTTACGACAAGCATAGTCACCTTTTACGGCAAGCATGGGTTGCTGAAGACCTATTCTACCCCGGAATCTTCACGGGTCTGACAACAAAGCAGTCATTGGGGATTTGGGGGATTCAAATCATAGGTGCTGGGAATGTCATTTGTCACGAAACTTGACGGCAGCATTTCAAACAATGGTAATCTCAAGGAAACGGTCCATGTACCTAGATCCGTCACAGAAAACATACCGTCAATAGTTTTATCTATGAACCTCTGCGTGAGTTTCAACTGTACACTGAGACTTCAGTTCCCCGCTGGCCTCCGAGTGTTGTTGAGTTACCTCCCTTTGTCTTACAAGCGTTGTCCTTCGCTTGGTTTCAGGATCAGGTTTCGTCATTTCCTTCCCGATTATTTTCATGGAAGCCACCCGGACTCGGTTCCCAATGGCTACTAGTGTCACAGACAGCACCCTGCAACATAATATTCGATTGATAGATACATACACAGTTTGTTTTGTAACAACTGAGTCACCGTCATCTTCACGAGGCAAGGGAGGTAACTGACTATAAAAGTGGAAACAGGACTTTTATAGTAAGAAAACTCCCTTGCCTCGGGAAGGTGAGTCACCGTCAACTATATCATGGCAGGCTGTAAGTCTGGGCAGACAAACTGGTGACTGAAAAAAATGAGCTGTCGACGCAGTCAGGGCACGATAATACGCAATCAGCCAGGTCAGAGAACCTGAGCACCTAACCACCTGACCAACTGGCCATGTCATATAACAGAAATAGGATGATGGGGACCTATTCTAACCCAGGTTCCAAGTGCATGACATAGATTAATTCGGTTCAAGATGACAGGGAGCCAAAGCAGGTCAACTCACTTGAGTGCAAACAGTTCTAAGATGACTGTACTTCCAGTGATGAGAATCTTGAGGTAGATGTAGGTGTCAAGATGGCAGATGAAGTAGGACAGCACCGGGCTCCCCAGCATCGACAACAACAGCACGATGAGGATGGCAAGGCGCCGAGACCCCATCCCTCGAGGCAGCCACGTGCTGACGTACTGCACCCGGTACTGTAGGCAGAGGGAGCGAGTATAGGTTTACGTGAGTTTTATTAATATCAAGACGGGGATACCAGAAATTGACTTTCTTCCCACTTGAGAAACGAACCCGGTCCTTCAGCGTGACGAACGAACGCTTCAGCCACTAGGCTATCCCCCGACCGGAGGGAGTTAGGTTAATAGCCGCTTTTAACACAATCTCATTAAAATCAGACCTCAGTTCTCGCTCCCACTAAACAAAGATCTGAGGACATCCCATTGGGGGTCACGTCAGAACGACCTTTCATCCGACCAATCAGAGCATCGCTTACCAGATTATGAAAGTGACAGTCGGAATGTGATTTCTAATCATGCAACCTCGAAACTTAAACTCCGAACAATAGTTACGGGTTCAACGACTGAATCCATACAATCTAGACCATCTATTAGCCATTCCAGAATGTTCTTTTGTTTAGGTTTCAAATTTGTTATCGAGAATTTGTCAAAATATGTTTCGAAGCGTAGTCGCCAAATCTGAAATTAGTGCCTTAAAGCACAAGAAAGCTGCCTTCTGATTGGTCATTCCATTGGTCGATCAAAGTTCGCGCAAGGTCGGTCTGACGTGACCCGTAATGGGATGTCCTCAGATTTTTGTTTAGCGGTAGCGAGAACTAAGATATGATTTTAATGAGATTGTTTTTAACAATCACGTTAATATCATGGCCTGCCAGTTTGATGTCGGAGGAAAGCCCATGCAAGTGAATTCCACCAGGTGAGACCAACCGTCACAAGAATGGTGCAGCAAACTCGGGATCCAATCGGGGCGAATCTGTCATTCGAACCGTCGATTAGCTGATCCTTGCACAGCTAAGGGACACAGCACTGTGTGGCAAATTGCAGCGCACTAGACCTCTGGACCGCCCACGTCCACCATCTTCCCGGGGCATGTGCGTTAAATGACTATAAAAGTCAAGTTTCAACCCTTGCCAGTTACATTTGGGCTGGACTAACAAGTCTATGCACAGTCCAATCAAAATCGCGTAACGAATAAGATGCAGATTTCGGTCGACTGCAGGCTTGCAAAGCATGTGTACCGTCTACTGGGCGCCAACATATATTTTGCAAATCATTTCAAGTTATTAATTTAGGTGCTCATGTGGTAAGACCCGTTTATGACAATATAGATATTGATTATCGATCAGATCGTCTTGACTGGTCGCCGCCATTTGGTTTGAATCAAACACTTTAAGTGATATGAGAGACTGAATCTGATTGGCCAATAGGAGGGACATAGAAGGGACATAACTCATAACAGCCACTGGTGGCGCTACGATCGAGCCTGGAAATTCCGTCCTAGTTCGGCAAGGGTGGAAACTAGACTTTCATAGTCAGTAAACGTTCTTGCCTCGGGAAAATGACGTCCATTTGAGGGAAGGATAGTTGGGAGAGACGTATGAACGATTTGTTTCAGTAAGTATACTTTTTCACTCCTCATTTCTGATTTGAACCACTACCTTTATTCCAACTGGGGCGAGTAATAGGTCAGCTCGCTTCTAAACCTAAGTCTACCAAGCTGCCCGTGTATTAAGCAGCTCACCTACCTCCACATTGCAGACTTTGCATGTTGGGGTATGTTCATGTTCCGCATTCTGCAAAATAACATTAAAAGTTGTTGCAGGATCACCCGGGGTACATGGGGTATTATAAAAACATTACTAGGGACACATTAAACCCCATGTTCCCAGAGTGATCTCTAAAACCTAACGCGGGACGCATAAAAACCCATGTACCCCAAGTGATCCTGCTACAACGGTCTTATCTTACCGACATGTTTTAATATGACATTGAAAAATAATTAAAACAAATACAAAATTGATAGAAAAAGGCTGTTCGGTTGAGCTGAGGTTAACCTGTGCTGTGTCACATGACTTTTATTGACTCAGAAAAAGCGTGCGGCTTTTTGCTTCGAAGCGGGGTATGAAGGATTTATTCTGACTCCCAGAAATCCACGTCCAGCCTGACTTGTTCGTGGCGGGGTATAAGGGATTTTTTCTCAATGTGAGGCATATATTTTCCCCCAAAGCGGGATACAGGATATTTTATGAAGATCACGTAGGCCAATCAGACCTCATCATTGTGACATGTGGTATGATGCTGACTTATAACAGGGCAAAATCCTCCTTTTCACAAGTACATTGTGGTGATGAGCTACACACACTTCATATTTCAGGCATCTATTTGTTGTATCAAAGCGTGTTAGTTAAATGATGAAGGAAGTGACATGGGTAGTTGATCTTTTAGCACTGAACACTGGTATTGTGCAGATAAATCAGGACACTCAATTATGTCAAATTTGAGAGTGGAACCATCGATCAGCGGATCCTTGCAAAACTGGGGGAGATAACTTGCCCCTTACCTCAACAAGCCACTTGTGTAGACAGTTGTGATGCACTGTGGCTACATCTCCCCTACAAGCACAGGGTTGCAGGAGAGGTCCGGCGTCCGTCCGGTCCGGGTCGTAGCAAATCCAGCAGTCATACTGACCTAGAGAACTGGCGACTGCAACAAGCCCAGGGTTCGATAATGCAACAAATATATCTCACAAGCGGCATGTGATATGAGCTGTATATGATGTGCTGTACGTCAAAGGAGCTGTACGTCATATGAGCTGTATGTGACATGAGCGGCATATTATATGCGCCGTATCTCATATGAGCTCCATGTGATGAGCTGTATGTCATATGAGCTGTATGTCATATGAGCTGTACGTGATGAGCTGTATGTGACATGAGCGGCATATTATATGCGCCGTATCTCATATGAGCTCCATGTGATGAGCTGTACGTGATATGAGCTGTACGTGATATGAGCGGCATATGATATGCGACGGATGTGATATTGGGTGTATGTGCTATGAGCTGTACATGATATGTACCGTATGTGATATGAGCTGTACATGATGTGCGTCGTATGTGATATGAGCTGTACATGATATGCGCGGTATGTGATATGAGCTGTACATGATATGAGCCGTATGTGATATGAGCTGTACATGATATGCGCGGTATGTGATATGAGCTGTACATGATATGCGCGGTATGTGATATGAGCTGTATTACCCGAGTCTTCCCTCTTGAACGTGCTGTAGCCGGACGTGTACTGGTCAGGGCACAGGGCCGTCCTCTCGCCCACGTCAGAGTGCAAGTCCAGTGTCCTCAGAATCCGGCGAGGATTCAACACCCACAATGTCTCGGGCCTGTGGTTAGATAGGAACGGCTTACATCTTTCTTATCATTCACAGATTCGTACTTCTAGGACAGTTTTAGTTTTGGTCTTGACACATTATATAATAACTATACATTAAATGTATCAACATACATGATGGTCGGATTTACTTAGTAGTAACAGTGACCGTAGTATCAGTATAATTAACTACAATAGTAGTAATAGTAGTAGTGTAGTGGTCGTAATAGCAGCGGTAGCAGTGGTAGTGGTGGATGTAGTGGTAGAAGCAGTAGTTTTGTTTTGTATGTTGTTTAAATAATGGGGTCTGAACCAGACAATCCAGTGATTGACATTGACATCATCATCATAGTAGTAGTAGTAGTAGTAGTAGTAGTAGTAGTAGTAGTAGTAGTAGTATACCCACTTGCGGTAGTTCCAGAGGACGCAGGGGAACCAGATGACCACCCCGAACTCCACCACCCGGAACACCAGATCGTAATAGTTCAGTTCCAGGATCGTCATACTGCTCAACAACAACAACAACAAAACAACATCATATACAGGCAGTCTCATGATGGGGGTGGGTCTTGAGTAGGACCTGGGTACCCACAGGACTACCCGGACCCGTGGTTAGTCGAGTGATTATGTTGTTTAATGGCAAAAACTATCTAGAAGTCTATGGTTACACTATAAGTGAGAAATGTTCACATTTCTTCCTGACAATGCACACAATTCCTTCTGACTTCATATGTTTGCATTGAGATAAAACTTCAGTCAACTTCAGTGTATGCATGATCAGACCGTTTTATACCTGTATCTAAATACATTTTGACAGGAATACGGTCAGACTGTTCCCAATCGGACATTTTGTACCTATCTCTTGAGACCTAAAGCGTGTACCCGGGTAGGGTCGGGTAATAGGGGTGTGTGTACCCGGGTAGTATATTTGGACTCGTCCCAACCCTAGTGTGCATACTGATATAAGAACTTGGCATTTGCAACAAAGAAACGCTTATTCAGACACTTCCGTAATTCGATGTTGTTCTTGTATAATAATTCCTAAAATTCTCAACTCCAGCACCTTGAACTCAGAGTCTTATACCGACACACTTCTTGTCTCGAATCTTGTAAGTGAGTGAGTTGGGTTTTACGCAGTATTCCAGCAGTATGACGGGGACACCAGATATTGGTTTCACTCACAGTACCGTGTGAGGAATCAAACCCGGGCGTGGAACCTGAGATCGTTCGATGTGTTTTCAAATTCACCAAGGCCCCGTTCCACAAAGTGATCTTAGCGTTACGATTGTCGTAAAGGTATGTTAAAGTATGGGAGTAACGATCGTCTTAGCGCTAGGGTCGCTTTCAATGTCGTTTCGAGAACTTGGTGTTTTTAGACGTACACATTTTTCCAGTGGTCAGTGATGACGTCAGTGACGAGGAAGATGCCCATGAGGAACTGCAGGAAGGCCTGGGAGAGGAGCCCGAGTCTCGACATGGCCACCTGGTGGGGGTCCAACTCCACGCCATCCTCCATGAACGCCCCGTGCACCTGGGAGAACACCACATCTTATGAATGAGTGAGTGAGTGAGTGAGTGAGTGAGTGAGTGAGTGAGTGAGTGAGTGAGGGGTTTAACGCCGCTATGAACAGTCTGATTAATATCACGGCGTGACGTTTACTCCTTTGGTGAAATCCACCGTCACGGGTATGGTGTTGACAAACCAAGCAACGTTATCTGGTTGGATCTGGGATTCGAACCCACGATTATAGTTTTCTGGCACGCCTGAGGGACGCAACTCTAGACATCATCGCAGATCACCCGCGTCCCTTCACAGATCATGTGAAGGTTTAGCAATCCTTTAGCTATACTGCTCCTCACATCGATAGTCATTCGCGAAGCTCGCGATAGTAGTGCTGCCACCAGTCACGGCTCCCCACTGCATGTCTTAGACGGCCTAATAGCAAAACGGTTCCCTGGGTATGCTGCGCTGTCATTGTAGCGTAAGCGCAGCATACCCAGGGAACCAGTAGTTCGTAAATATTTTTGGAGGAAGTACTTAGTTTCGAATGTGGGCCTACCGTGTACTTTCGATTAGGCAATTAAAGTTGCTCCCTTCACGAACCCAGAAAAAGGCTGCCCAAATTGTTACCATGTGGCCATGTGGGGAATCGTGCCCGGGCCTTTGGCGTGACAAGCGTGCCCTCAAACCACTACGTTATATGATCATCCCAATTAAAAATGTAGTGACCTACCTTGAAGTAAAGTTCAACGCCGTAGATGAGGAAGATGACGACGAGGATGATGAGGAGGACAGCTACGGCGCCGTTGTATGCCTTGAGATGCAGGTCCTGTGTTACACACATATACACGGCTTCAGTGATGCGTTAGAGATCCACTACTGGTATTTAATATCTGAAGGAAGGGGGAAGGGCGGGCGGGCGGCTTGGGTTTTCGCTCGCGACACGCTGCTGTTGAGGACAATGATTCAACACAGTTTTCTTTATCACATCACGTTTATTTAGGACATATTCCAAATTATATTTTTTAATTTTTTGAGAACAAATTATGTTTTGGCGTTAAGGGTCAAATTAGTTTTTCGGAAAGAAAGAACTCACGTGCATGAAGATTTCGTGAACATAGTACCGATTGCGCTTTCGGAGTGACAGAGTAAGTTGGGTTTAACAGCTTTGAACAGTATTTCATGATCAGTTGTATCCCACGTGTTTCAGCTTATCGTAGGAGGAAAGCCCGAAGTGACGCAGGTCGTAGACGTTTACCACTTTGGTGAAACCAATGGGCACAGCTGATAAACGTAGAACATGATCAGGGCGAATCGAGATTCGAACCCACGGTCAAATGTTTCTGGCCCGCCAAAGGGACATAACTCTGCGCAGCGCATTGCGGCGCCTTAAGCGAGGCAGACAAGAAAATACACTGAACTGAAGCTAACGAGCTATCGCCCCAAAAGAAAAGCCTTATCAAACCCGGACCTTCACCTCGTCGTTGGGCACGATCTCTGTGAGGAGGAGGACGGTACACAACAACAGGTAGAGCACGACGTTGAAGAGGACGAACGCCAACACCGACTTGCTGAGGAACCGTGGCGTCTGGCTGCGGTTCACGTGGACGTCCTGAAACACACGTCTTGCTGTAGTTGGGGCTACGATACACATCACGGGAAGCAATTACAGTCGATACTGGTCATACCAGTTGGCATCGATGATCTTGCAACTCTAACATTCAAGGGGATACCCGTTATGTGTTTATCCACCTCAAACAAATGCACGCAAATACACTATATGAAACCAATGATGATGACACCATAATTGCTTGTAAAAGAAATTACCCCTATCCTATACATTATTTTCACTTGTTAGCACTGTTAAGAAACCCTTTCAACCCGAGATCTTGAGTTTGTGTACACATTCATTGTGTGTCAGAACTGAAAATGAAAATGGCCGTGATCACCATGGCATCGGCCCCGTCTCTGTATGCGAAGCCATGAGATGCATTAGAGTCAAATTTACTTGTATAGTGTTGCAACTCACAACCGACGCACCAGGGGTAGATGATTAAGGAAGCCCCACAATCACCCCAAACCCCCAGAGTCTTATAACCCCAGAAGCAGATGATGAGGGACGCCCCACAACCCTCAACCCAGTAACACATGAAAAGGGACGCCCCACAACCCTCAACCCAGTAACACATGAAAAGGGACGCCCCACAACCTTCAACCCAGTAACACATGAAAAGGGACGCCCCACAACCCTCAACCCAGTATTACATGAAAAGGGACGCCACACAACCCTCAACCCAGTAACACATGAAAAGGGACGCCCCACAACCCTCAACCCAGTAACACATGAAAAGGGACGCCCCACAACCTTCAACCCAGTAACACATGAAAAGGGACGCCCCACAACCCTCAACCCAGTATTACATGAAAAGGGACCCCACACAACCCTCAACCCAGTAACACATGAAAAGGGACGCCCCACAACCCTCAACCCAGTAACACATGAAAAGGGACGCCCCACAACCTTCAACCCAGTAACACATGAAAAGGGACGCCCCACAACCCCCGCCCCAGTAACAGATGCAAAGGGACGCCCCACAACCCCCGCCCCAGTAACAGATGAAAAGGGACGCCCCACAACCCTCGACCATGTAACACATGAAAAGGGACGCCCCACAACCCCCGCCCCAGTAACAGATGAAAAGGGACGCCCCACAACCCCCGCCCCAGTAACAGATGAAAAGGGAGGACCCACAACCCCCGCCCTAGTAAGAGATGAAAAGGGACGACTCACAACCCCCGCCCCAGTAACAGATGAAAAGGGACGACCCACAACCCCCGCCCCAGTAACAGATGAAAAGGGACGACTCACAACCCCCGCCCCAGTAACAGACGAAAAGGGACGACCCACACCCCCCGCCCCAGTAACAGATGCAAAGGGACGCCCCACAACCCCCGCCCCAGTAACAGATGAAAAGGGACGACTCACAACCCCCGCCCCAGTAACAGATGAAAAGGGACGACTCACAACCCCCGCCCCAGTAACAGATGAAAAGGGACGCCCCACAACCCCCGCCCCAGTAACAGATGAAAGGGACGCCCCACAACCCCCGCCCCAGTAACAGATGAAAAGGGACGCCCCACAACCCCCGCCCTATTAACAGATGATGAGTGACGCCCCACAACCCCCGTCCTCACCTCGGCCCAGGAGCAGATGATGAGAGAAAAGCCAGTGATGAGGAAGGGGAAGTAACCGCTCCACAGACAGGAGGCGACGTACTCCGACACCCGCCACTGAAACATTTGCAAGTGGAATGTGATGACATGCTTTTGTTTGTTTGTTTACTTAACGCCGCACTCAGCAATATTCCAGCTATATGAAGGCGGTCAGTACAACTGAGTCTGGACCAGACAATCCAGTGATTGAAATCATGAGCATCGATCTACGGAATTGGGATACGGTGACCTACATTAACCAAGTCAGCGAGTCTGACCACACGATCCCGTTAGTCGCATCTTACGACAAGCATGGTCGCATTTTACAGCAAGCATGGGACCTATTCTAACCCGGATCTTCACAGGTCTAATTAATTTCGTACTCTCCCTACACAGAAAATAGGTCTCTACCTTATAGAAAGTCTACTCTCACCTAACTGAAAGTCTACTCATTTGAGCGCAAAAGGAACATACAATAAGTTTCAGAACTCAATTCCAACAGACAGTAGGCCCATCTGATCGCGGAGACACATACGCTAATGACAGTATAATCTCCTTACACAGAAAGTAGGCCCCTGTGAGCGCGGAGGCACATACGATAAGGACAGTATAATCTCCTTACACAGAAAGTAGGTCCCTCTGATCGCCTTGATACATACGCTAATGACAGTACTCTCCTTACACAGAAAGTAGGTCACTCTGATCGCCTTGACACATACGCTAATGACAGTACTCACCTTACACAGAAAGTAGGCCCCTCTGATCGCCTTGACACATACGCTAATGACAGTACTCACCTTACACAGAAAGTAGGCCCCTCTGATGGCCTTGATACATACGCTAATGACAGTACTCTCCTTACACAGAAAGTAGGTCCCTCTGATCGCCTTGACACATACGCTAATGACAGTACTCACCTTACACAGAAACTAGGCCCCTCTGATCGCCTTGATACATACGCTAACGACAGTACTCACCTACCACAGAAACTAGGCCCCTCTGATCGCCTTGACACATACGCTAACGACAGTACTCACCTTACACAGAAAGTAGGTCCCTCTGATCGCCTTGATACATACGCTAATGACAGTACTCTCCTTACACAGAAAGTAGTTCCCTCTGATCGCTTTGACACATACGCTAATGACAGTACTCTCCCTACACAGAAACTAGGCCCCTCTGATCGCCTTGACACATACGCTAACGACAGTACTCACCTTACACAGAAAGTAGGTCCCTCTGATCGCCTTGATACATACGCTAATGACAGTACTCTCCTTACACAGAAAGTAGGTCCCTCTGATCGCCTTGATACATACGCTAACGACAGTACTCTCCTTACACAGAGAGTAGGTCCCTCTGATCGCCTTGATACATACGCTAACGACAGTACTCACCTTACGAAGAAACTAGGCCCCTCTGATCGCCTTGACACATACGCTAACGACAGTACTCACCTTACACAGAAAGTAGGTCCCTCTGATCCCCTTGACACATACGCTAATGACAGTACTCACCTTACACAGAAAGTAGGTCCCTCTGATCGCCTTGACACATACGCTAATGACAGTACTCACCTTACACAGAAAGTAGGCCCCTCTGATCGCCTTGACACATACGCTAATGACAGTACTCACCTTACACAGAAAGTAGGCCCCTCTGATCGCCTTGACACATACGCTAATGACAGTACTCACCTTACACAGAAACTAGGCCCCTCTGATCGCCTTGACACATACGCTAACGATAGTACTCACCTTACACAGAAAGTAGGCCCGTCTGACCGCCTTGACACATACGCTAATGACAGTACTCACCTTACACAGAAAGTAGGCCCCTCTGAGCGCGGAGGCACATATAACAAGAAGATACAAGAGCTTCTGCACCGTGACGCCACACGCACTCCGCCACGACTTCTTCTCCCGCTGATACTCGCACACAATACACAACAGCTGGAACACAGACGCAGTCACAAGGTGAGGTGAGGTGAAATGGGGTTTAACGTCGCGTCCAAAATTATTGCACTTATTTAGCGACGTGCATGCACGTGTGTGTGTGTGGCTGCTTGTACTAGTCCGGACTGATGCCGATTTATAGTGCTAGCTCACTGAGATACCATGCCACAGCTTAACATGAATACCCAACTCAGACACAGTATACTGACTCCGAGCCGACCAGTCCTTGTTTTAGCCCCTTAAAGCCGAGCGCCAGACAGTGTAACAACAAGTACCATCTTTTAACGTCTTATTGGTATGACGCTGCCGGGGATCGAACCCCGGACCTTACGCTATACTGACGGCAGATTATATGAGGAAACATATATAGATTTTTATCATACAAAGACAAACTCATACAATGTAAAAACATATCCAGACACGTGTACACACACGTGTGGTGTAGAGACGGACGTGTTGTGTGCAGACAAACACTATAAGTCTTATAAACCTCTGATGACGTCACACTACAGTAACAGAAAGTTCTTCAAAAGGTTGGTCAACTTCCAAGGCAGGTAATATCAACAATGCCCGGGGCGTTGCGGTGGTAAGCCCGGGACCTGATGAATACAGTTCAATTTTAATACCTAGGTTTTAACAATTCCCGTTTTATAAACTTGCCTCTAGGTGTGAACACGGTGTCACGGGTGGCCCAGTCGTCTTAGGCGCCGCGATTCGCTGTGCAGAGTTGCGTCCCTTCGGCACGCCAGAAACCTATGATTGTGGGTTCGAATGTGGGTTCTAGGTTTGTCAGCACCATACCCGTGTTCCTGGGTTTCACCGAAGTGGTAAACGTCTGAGACCTGCATCACTTCGGGCTTTCCTCCCGCATTAAGCTGACACGCCGTGATATAACTGGAATACTGTTAAAAGCGGCGTTAAACTCAACTCATTCATTCATTGATGTGAACACAGTAGTGTTTGATGATTGGTTAAAGGTTCCTAGGGGGCAGGTGATGAGACGTTGTTCAGTTTATCATGTCATGACGTCGACTCCAGTTAGTTTATGCTGCACGTGGTTTTTCTCTACCTATTCTTACCAACTGGATGGTGACGACGCAGCACACACAGGTAAAGATGGAGCCGAACGCCAGAAAGTACTTGCGATTTACCTCCTCGCAGCCCGTGCCAGCGTACTGAACCTGGGGGGAGAGAGGGAACGCTGGTCGTTAAGACGGCGGTGGACACGTTAAGGTTGTTTCATATTAAACCGCCGATCTCCCATAAGGGACATGGAGTCTTCAATATTTTGATATTCCACTGTCTTGAATATTTTGATATTCCACTTACATTTATCGTAACCTTTTGCAAATTAACACGATTTGTCATACAAATATGTGATAAATCATGTATATTTCCACCGCGGTGGAAATACTTTTCTGTATTTTCATTTTAGTTTTTGACATTTTCCCTTTTGTTTTTGACATTTTAGTTTTTGTTTTTGACATTTTCGCTTCACTTTTCAGCGATTCAGTATCTACTTTATACATGATTCATCACATATTTGTATGACAAATCGTGTTAATTTGCAAAAGGTTACGATAACAGTAAGTGAAATATAAAAATATTGAAAAACAGACTCCATGTCCCTTATGGGCCACCGTACCCGTGGATGTTTCTTACAACGCTCATGTATGGTGGCCGAAAGGGCACATCGCTTTCTCGCCCTCAATATCGGCTGCGAGAAAACGATACCACGAGACGAGAAAGATTTCTCGCTCTATCGCTTTCTCTCGTCCAGGTGCTAGGGAGAACCCTGGAGCACACAGAACCATTCACAACACAGGGAAAGAGATCAGAAACAACATAACCTGATGGACGATGCTTACAAGACGCTGACGCACCTTCCATGTGACGTATTAGTATTGTATACGTCTTCTTTTGGGTAGCCTAAAGGTTAAAGCGTTCGCTCGTCACGGCGAAGACCCGGGTTCGATTCCCGACATGGGTACAATGTGTGAAGCCCATTTCTGGTGTCCCCCGCTGTGATATTGCTAGAATATTGCTAAAAGCGGCGTAAAACCATACTCACTCACTGACTTACTCTTTTGAATGGCGCCACAATTCGTTATGCAGAGTAACGTTCCATGGACGTGCAAGGAACCGCTGGCGACGGGTTCGAATCTCAGATTTGCTTCGTCTATGATCCTTGGTTTGTTAGCATCATACCTTGGTTGTGGGATGTAAAAAACTTTGAGCTTTCCTCCAAAGGAAAGAGTTGCGTCCCTTTGGCACGCCAGAAACCAATTGTCGTGACTTCGAATCCGATTAGGTTTTTGGTCTGTCATGGGTTTCACGGTAAACGTCTGAGACCTGCATTACTTCGGGCTTTCCTCCCACGTGAAGCTGATATGCCGTGATATAACTGGAATACTGTAAAAAGCGACGTAAACCCGTCTCACTCACTCACTTACCAGACAGACACACTGGCCCTGCTGACAAGCTCCATGGCCGGAGCAGTTCCACTGACAGTCGCCGTCAGTCCAGAGGTCTCTCACCTCCATGTCCCCAACGCTGGATATCTGTTGACATTGGTTTAAAGGTTAGCTCGGGCGGTCGGGTAGCCTAGTGGTTAAAGCGTTCGCTCGTCACGCCGAAGACCCGGGTTCGATTCCCAACATGTTTGATATCATTTCTGGTGTCCCCCGCCCTGATATTGCTGGAATATTGCTAAAAGCGGCGTAAAACCATACTCACTCACTTACCGCTTTAACCACCAGGCTACCCGACCGCCCCGGCGTTTACTAGTAATCGAGGAAATACGCTGCTGTATCAATGTGTATCATTCGTCGGGTATTGACCCATGAGACGGATGACGGGTGACCCAGACTTGGACTTGGGACGGGTGATGCGTGACCCAGACTTGGACTGTCATGGAAAAAGTTGTGGCTCCCGACTGAATGGTCACAGATTGTAGATAACTCAGGCGACACACGTATCTATGTCATCAATTTATATCTTATACATGTTGTTGATATAGATACACAAAACTGCATGGAGAAAGAAGTATGTCAGTATGTCTACAACTGACCGTGACAGTGTGGGTGAGTGTTTGTGAGTGAACCTTGGATAAGAGGGTGAAATTAGGTGTAGGATGGTGAGTACAGGGTGAGTGAGTGGAGGCTGAGTGAACGTAGGGTGAGTGAGTGTAGAATGGTGAGTGTAGGGTGAGTGAGTACATGGTGAGTGAGTGTAGGGTGAGTGAGTGAACGTAGGATTAGAGTGTGAACTTAGGTGTAGGGGAGTGAGTGCAAGGTGAGTGAGTATAGGGGAGTGAGTTGGTGGGTGATTAGGTGTAAGGTGCGTGATGGGAGAGGGAATGAATGAGTGAGTGAGTGAGTGTGGCATGTGAAAGTGATGCCGTAGGACAACTTGATATTGTTTCTAAACATTTTACCGACACCCCCACCCCTCCATGTGACACATCGAACCCGGTATTGCGCGCGTGACAACTAACAGTCCCCAAGCTACAACAACAATCTCCATCACCTGACTAGTCAAACCTATCAGCGTTAGAAATCAATCAGTCAATAACTTCACAGTAACATGTCTTAGAATCTTACCGTTTTGAAACTAGCTGTGGACATATGTTGACACAGTCATTAGTTCAGTGGTGAGCGTGGTTCGATGACAGTCTCACAATCAACAAACGACTTCGTTGTGCTTCACTCTGCTCCGATAAGGGGGCTTCTCAAATTTCATTATTGCATAATTCTGTTTTCATTTTCTGCGGCAATGTAACTTGCACATACATTTTTACAGTACTGTTCGTACTCACAAAAACGAACCCAGCTGGACGCTGATTCCGGGCTCATTAAATTCCTTGAGGAAAGTTACCTACGAAAATATGTTTGAGACGGTCCCCGTGATAAGCTGCGCAAGGGCACCACGGCTTCAGCGTCACGCGGTGGATGGTAACACTAGAACGTTGTGGCTGCGTCAACGCTGAAAATACACCAGATTACAGTGAATGTTTACATAATGACCTCTTCAAACCAGACCCGAGGGAGACACGATTGATGTTATACTAAACAGAATTATTTCCTTCTGTCAGGTGTGGGGTAGCCTAGAGGTTAACATCCGGGTTCGATTCCCGAAATGGGTACAATGTGTTCAAACCATTTCTGGTGTCCCCGACGTGATATTACAGGAATATTGCTAAAAGCGGCGTAGAACCCAACTCACCTACTCGCTTGCCCAGTCAGGGGAAAGCTTATTGCGTCACTTTGTCGGTACACGGCATTCGCACTTGTATTATCCGTTGTGTTCTCTCTCCAACACCGGTCTGGTAGTTACTTTGTATGAGTGAGTGAATGTTGTTTTATTGCGTTTTGCAAATAATCGCTATTTTTCCTGGGTAACCAATTGCTTATGATTAATAGCAATCCCATATGGATGAACATGTTCCTACCAAGAAAATAAATAAGAATGATAAGGGCAATAGTAATAATAAACTGATGGGCAAAAGAAAGTATACATCTAAGTTGGTTTTATAATATGTTTCATTTGAAGTTATCCATTTTATATCCACAAAAATAAACTGTACCAGTTGGTTCTTAGTCTGCCCTCAAAGAATGCTTCGACATGGTTATTTTGTTTAAAATATAATTCTATTTAAAACGCTCAATAATTTTATTATTTTTTTTAAATTCGCATTATACACAACTGCTGATGAGTGATGCTTTGACATCAAGCTCTTATCTTTATAAATAAATAAAATTGGGTTCTTTCATTTTTCAATTTTTCCTTTAGGTTGTCATGTGGTTGTTTATGTGGGAAAATTGAGAAATCAATTGACATAATTGAGCTTGCCAATTGGTTGTTTTCTGGGATTGTAGACATTCAAACAAATCATTTGAGCTTTGGAGAATCAACATAGTATTAATTTAATCCGCGAATCATGTCTGAAGACTACAAGTTTTATATACAAGTGGCATATCACTGCATGTGAAAAAGGTTCACTTTAATCAGTAATAGCAATGACAAATGACTTCTATCATTTCAAGAATGACAAACATCATTTTGGCCTATCCGCAATCTGAAAGACAGGTACAAGGCACAAACGAGATTTTGTCAAACTACAACTACCGCGACTGTCAGCTTATATAAAAACATATAAACAACCCAGACAGTATTAAACCAACTACCACCTCGACGAACAGTTTTTTTGTTTGTTACATATCTCGGAATATATACATCACAGAAAGGTAACACATTCACACAAATCCTAAAAAAGCCTAATAAAGCAAAACTTTACACATAAGTTCACTTGCACGTGTTACGTGTAAGTAGTTATGTCGTTTTTACACTGAAAGGCACCTTGTTTTCGACTCGTTGCTATCGCGTCAGATGACACCAAAAGTAAAGTAAGAAATATTGAACTTAATATTTAGTATATAAATAATATGACGATTGTTGTCCGGAAGCACTTCGGTGCACGATGTAAGTTAGATTAAGTTCACATTATTAAGTAAATAGGCTAAAAACCTTCCTAAACCATGCGCTATGTGCTCGGGTGAAACCACAATTTTTGCTGTCCAGCGAGAAATTGGTAGTTATACTTCCTCCCAACATCCGTTTTGGCATGGGCAGCGCTTACCCCCTGTGTGACTGATATAAATTAATTGTTTGACTTTGATGATGAGTATGAGACTGAAATTATAATTAAAAACCCACAGAGTTAACTAATCTGTTCAGAAGTATTATCGAGATGGCGCTCTGCAAGTCGGCTGCAGTTTAACCGAATGAAGGATGGTTCATGTAATTATTACATACTCGAAATACACTGCCGGGCAAAAGAAAGTATAACTTGAAAATTGCATTTGACCTTACAATTACAAACGTTATCAAACGTTACTAAGCTGAATAAAGTCCGAAACACTGCACACGTAAGGAAAACACTGCAAAACACAACTACAATACCCATCAAATAACCATTTCTGGTTGGTTTCATTTTTAGCCACCCACCCATATGGGTGTATACTTTCTTTTTCCTGGTAGTTTATATGCATATCTTCATCTAATGACAAGCGCTTTGTACAACTGTCTGTTCGACAATTGAAAGCAGGCTGAACCCGAAAAAAAGAAATTTAAACACATTGTGGAAAAGGATCTAAAAGGAAAGCACCTGTAGATAAAAAAGAAACCATCACCAACAAGTCATATTGTAATTAAAACATTCTTACCATCGACCTATTTCAAGTCATACATGAAAAACAGGTATGAATCGGTTCTAAAATCACTTTGATTTAAAAAAATAGAGGGTATTCTATCTGTTGATTGGCAGGGGTAAATGAGATTCTTTCACGAGTGGCAGAGCCACTTTTCTCAACATCAGAAAACTCAATCATCCACACTGAAAAATATTATAAAAATAAATATGTTCTGACATGCAGTCTCGGGCAAAATGGAAACGGATACTCTATTGTAAGTTTACAAAGGAAAAACCTTCAACGCAGGTTAAGATATAGATAGTTTCTTTAATATGTCTTTTTATTTATTAAATTAGAATGGCATATCGACCTGATCTCAGTCTGCAATCTTCGACGTTACAAAGTTCTTGTCATGGTCAAAGGGAGACAATTCAATTTCAATGGCGTAAAGTTTCAAGCTCCTCACAGCGATATCCCGTTGACGGAGCTCTCTATACTATCGCTGCCACCAGTCAAAACTCCCCACTGTGACAGGTGACCACAACCATGCTTGGAGTTGAACTCACAACCGACGGACCGTTATGTTACGTTATAACGCCGAATACACTTAGGCAACTAAATTATTTTCTGTGTTTGTCAATTTGAATTTCTATTTCATTTCAACTATCACGTAATTGGTATAGTTAGAATGTAAGGGGGTGGGTTTGGGTGATTTTCCGTTCGTCTGCAATTTCGAACCAATTTGATCAAACAAGAAGTTAAATTCATCTGGGAAATGTGGTCAGTCGTAAACATTTTCAAAATTCACAATGATGGCATTACCAAAGACATAAACAAAAGTATAAATGTTGCTAAATTTGGTGTTAGAGGGCAAATTTCTTGATTCTTGTAAAACAGCTGCGCCCAGTCGCCCACACTGGTGGCAGCGATGTTACCGAGAGTGTAGCGAACGTGTCACGCGCTGCGAAGGAGCTTGACAGCTTGTGGTCAAAGGGAAGTAATCCAGTTTGGTAATTAGACTGTGCTCCTGTCTGTATAAAAGCGTTAAACTTGCGACGTGTACGAACAGTAGAACAAGTAGAAGCTCATTTCAGGATCTGCATGCAAACTTCAGATACTGCGTTGTGCTTTAACAAAGGGAAGTAACTGTATTAAGAAAATAATCTTAGTCTGGTGCCCTGTCCACGGCTTGTAGTGTGGCGAGGAGCAGATAAATCAGTCTAAAATTATCTGTGTGCTCTGCGCATGTCTGAACTAATGTATGACGTCATTCGATCTTGTAGCAAGGGAGATAACCAGTAATCTCTAAGCTCTTTCTCAGTGCGTATATGGACTATCGCTGTGAGGAACTTCTCTATAGAACTCGGACTATTTCACACGACATGGGGAGTTTAAATTAAGACACTGTGTGGAGCTCATGCAAGGGGACCTTACTCTTATATATTTTTAGCATATCATATCACGATTATCTCCCTTAGACCATTAACTGCATTGGTGGCGCTATACGGCTGGCGGGGTAATCGTTCAACGACGTTTTTGTGAACGTTTCGTGTTTACTTTTGTCTTGATTAATTGTTTGTTATTTATGTACGTCTATCGGGATCATATCGGGATCGTAACAATATATTTTTATAATGGCAAGTAATGTGCAGACCACATGATTTACCGATCTAAAGCCATGCATGCAGTTAGTAGCAGTAAGGGAGTTCTTACTTATTTTTGTGTTTCTCATCTCCAAGGTTTTCACAGAGTGGGCAGGTGGTCGGAGAAAGAGAAAAGAGTGGAACGTCCTTATTGCAGAATACCTATTTACGGTTTCGGCGAACAATACCAAATATTTGACAGTTGAAACATATTGAGAGCAAGCTGAGCCTGAAAAACGAAATTTAAACCCATTGTTGAAAAATATCTATGCATTGATTAAACTTGAAGTGACAAATATACGTACGACTTGATGGAATCATGAAGAGAATCTTGAACAGGCTGTGTCGGTTGGAGTCAAACCTATTGTGATATAAAGTCCCTTGAACTCTTTTATCACTGAGAGAATTACTGGGGTAATAACTTATGTGTACTTCAACAAGCCAGGCTGCACCAACCCCGAACTTCACAAATAACAGAAAGGCCTGTCTGTGTGATTGCCATTGTCGCAGGTGTTCATGTCATGTACTTTCTCAAACATCAACACAGCTCCTCGCTTTATATATAAACTGCAGTGGAGGCAATCCTATATCGCAACACAAAAAATAGAAGTAGTAAAGAGTTTCTTCCATTCCAAGTTTCAGCAGTTCACTTCAAGAACGCATCCTATTATATATATACGACCGTGGTTTTGTGAAATTTGACACTTTTTTTTCAAGACGTGGCATACACATACAGATGGACCACGGATAATTCAGGATTAAAATACTAGTTTGACGCGCACTGGTGGTATTATGTGGAGAACATGTATAACAAGCGTCATGTTTATAGACAACCATCAACAGTTTGATTAAGACAACATCCATATAGATGGAATTCGCCACGTAATGCAAACACCAGTATAAACAGACCTTCGTTACATTATAGGGTGAGTGAGGATTAACTCAGAGTTGATGATATTATAATTTTTCGTCAACTTATTGTTGGACGAAAGCCCAAAGTTTTGCCGGTCGTATACGCTTACATCCCGTGAATATCCGGGTTAGATTAGCAACCCATGCTTGTCGTAAGAGGCGACTTGTGGGATGGGGTGGTCAGGCTCGCTGACCTGATTGATACATATCATCGTATCCCATTTGTGGTAGATCGATGCTGATGATGTCAATCAATGGATTGTCTGGTCCGGACTCGATTATTTACAGACCCCTGTCATATACCTGGAATATTGCTGAGTGCGGCGTTAAACAACAAACAAACAAACACACAAACGTAAAGACCTTAGCCACTGCAGCGATAACCATTAGCTCGGATGTGGCAGATCGATTATCGTAATCGGGGCAAATGGTGACCGTATTGTGTGATCATTTTTCTTTAAAAAGTACACCAGAGACGTCCATGAATATGTTTCTGCTCCATGTTCATATATGAACAGGAAGATGATGTCCCAGGGCCCCGTTCCTTAAAGCGACCCCAGTGGTACGACTATCATAAGTCCAGCGTTAGATATTGGCAGTAGTATTTGCAAAATAGTTCAGATGTCGTAAGGACTAGTAGAAATTTGCCCTTTTTAAGGGTTTTGCCCATTGTCATCATCATAAGGACCAGTGGACTAAAAATGTTAGTTTCTACCGCTGTAAGTCGATACCGTTAGTCTATGTTAAGGTACGAGAGTTACAATCACCTTAGCGCGAAGATCGCTTTGTGCAACGGCACTCTGGTCAGTACTCTTCAAACTTAACTTTATTTGATAATATAACCGGCAAACCATGCGAACCTTCACAATACTTTCTCTGATTCCTTTCAGACCGTCTCCGTGGTCTAGTGGTAGAGCGTCCGCCCCGAGAGCGGAAGGTCCGGGGTTCGATCCCCGACCGCGTCATACCCAAAGACGTTAAAATATGGTACTTGTTGTTACCCTGTCTGGCGCTTGGCATTAAGGGGCTAAAACAAGGACTGGTCGGCTCGGAGACAGTATACTGTGTCTGTGTGGGGTATTCATGATAAACGTATGGCATGGTATCTCAGTGAGCTAGCACTATAAATCGGCATCTGTCCGGACTAGTACAAGTAGCCACACAAACACACACACGTGTATGCACGTCGCTATATAAGTGCAATAATCTTGGACGCGACGTTAAACCCCATTTCACCTCTGATTCCTTCCCTTCTCCGCCAAGTCGGTGATATGCTCATCGCGATGCATGATCAGTCAAATATCATTAGCTTATGACACTGTTGAGAAATCCCATTTGATTTCGGCCGAAGTGTGCCAATAATGTGACCGCCTTTTTCCCCCCTGTCACCGTGGTCCACCATTGTTTCTTCTGAGTGAGTTTCGGTTTAACCAGTAACCACGAGTGAGTGAGTGAGGTTGATTTTACGAGGCTTTTCAGCACTATATATATTCCAGCAATATCACGGCGGGGGACAGCAGAAAAAGGCTTCACACATTGTACCATGTAGGGAATCGAAACCAGGTCTTCGGCGTGACGAGCGAACGCTTGAACCATTGGGCTACCCCACCGCCATAGTAACCACGAGATAACATTTTCAGCCTTGTAAAATGGACTCACAAAACACAACATATAGATAATCTACTACTCAAAAGAAAGCTAAAGAACCCCCGATATGCCATTAACTACACTAATAAACTTATGAAAGAATCAGGTGAATTTCGACTTCTTTTAAGTAGATAATGTCTGTATAAAACGAGTAGATTTAGGTGTTAACAGTGAATTCAGTAATTTAAAATTCATTAGAGTTGAAGCAAAATCGGCACCAAAACTAAATTTTGAAATAATGTAAATATTACTGTGAATCAGAATAAGGTAGACTATATTATTAGAGTTTTCCACGCAAATCATTAGGTTTAGTACACACAGCCATTGACAATATCGTGGCCATCAGTGAGTGAGTTTCGTTTAAAGCCGCTTTGAACAATGATATCACGGCGTGCCAGCTTGACGTGGGAAGAAAGACCATTTTGACAATGTGGACCTTTTCAAGGAAATAACTGAACACGAGTAATCCTTCTTTGGTATATAATGACAACACAAACGCAATCCTATAACTTGAACAACATATCCTGCCAGAGAGTCAACTCATGGTACCGTGACGCTGAATTCGATTCCATTCCATTCCAGGTTTTAACATGGGCACCAGCTGTGCACGTGTCCACGTGAGTGATATTGTCTGGAAGTCCAGTCAGTGATGTTTAATCGATTAACAGATATGACAATTCCTACACACAACATACCACGGAATAGATCTGACTGTGTGTTCACTAATATTCCTGTGGCCAGATTGGAGTTTTGCAGGAGAAATCTGAAAAGGACACTTAATATCAGCTGATGATGGAAAGAATTAAATATGTTCTGGTGGGATTGCTGAAAAGGTCAGACTTTATTTTTTTTAAATTATTAACTTAATTCATTGTTACAGTCCTTTTGCTGCAAAATAGATATAAATCCGAAAAGAACAACTCGTCTTAAATGACATTAAAGTTATTAATTTGTCCATACCAACTCGATCGTCACCATAATTTCAGACAGTTTCATGAAGTAGAGAAAAAATCTAATTCAAGTGAATTTCAAGTATTGTGTATAATGCATTCATGAAATTGTTTGACCTTTTGCTATTGTGGATCTAGAAGACAAGTGGTCAACACTTGTATAATGCAGCTCCAATCTCCACACCCCATCTGTTGTTTGACCTTTGCTGCGTAGAAAAATAGAAATAAAAAATGGGCCTTGCTGAATATTAAATGATTAGTCCGTAATATGAAGGCCTAAAGAAGACTGTCACAGTGGCTAGTCAGTGGGATGTTGAAAAAGGTGGCTGCCTGATTTGAGCAAGTCAAAGTGAACACAAACGAGTGATTGGGAGACATGTTTCATGAACACTGTTTGAAATGAAAGTGATGAGCTTATCGGACATCAGAGTTAACAACAATGGATCATGTAACCATGGTTTAATAACTGACAGTCAACTCTCCATATTGGCAAGAGAGTGATGTCACAGTTGTGTTTAATGAATTTCATTTGCTGTGGTCTGAATTTCTATATTTAAAAACTTGTCACTGACATGCAGCCAGCCAAGTCACTGAGTCTGACAGGGTTAGAAACTAACAGTTTTTGTCCACTAGTCCTTATAATGATAACATAGAGCAAAACTCTTAAAATGGGCCAATTTCTACTAGTCCTTAGGATACCTTTACTGTTGGGCAGTATGGTAAAGACTATAGGACTAGTGCCAATTTCTAACGCTGTCTGACCACCTGATTCATTTGGTCTCCTCTTCCAACTAGCAGGGCATGGACAAGAAGACATGATCTGTCATTGAACAATGTTTACTTTTACCATGTCTAAATAATAACTACATGTACAAATGTTGTATAAAGTGGGCAGTTTACATTCATGACATGATAAGGTGGAATTGTTATTTTTGTGTCCTTATACTGAACACCTTGACAGGCTCTCAATGAATAATGTCTTGGACACAGATATATAGTGAGTCATTACTGGGATATTGGGTGACACTCTTTCTGTTTCAAATTTTGGATTAGAGAAAGCAAAAACATAAAACCACAATAAAAACAATAATTAGTTTTCAAAGTATTGAAAATAGTTTTACCTATTACTCTGCAATTTCTGCATGTATCATATCAGAGGTGTTCAATTAGTATGCCCAACATGTCTGAAATTAATGTGCTGGTCAAGTTGGAAAATATTATTTAGTAGGCCTTGGTCAGGTATGAGAATCTTTGGTATGAACTTTAAAGCTTAGAAGATGCATCGTGTCTTTGTCAACTGCAGGTGAAGTACCTGGCTAGTTGACCCGTGAAGATCCGGGGTAGAATAGGTCTTCACCAACCCATGCTTGCCGTAAAAGGCAAATAACGGGATCGGGTGGTCAGGTTGCTGACTTGGTTGATGCATGTCATCGGTCCCAATTCGTTGGATGGATGCTCATGATGTCAATCACTGGATTGTCTGGTCCAGACTTGATAATTTACAGGCCGCTGTCATATAGCTGGAATACTGCTGAGTGCGGCGTTAAACAACAAACAAACAAACAAGCAAATCTGGCTAGTCATTTTTCTATTCTGCATATCTTCCATTTGCTGTTGCTTCAGTTAATACAGCGTTGTTGTCAAATTGATGTTTTCTTCTTTTCTCTGATTCAGCAGTGCAAGTTGAAAATCAGGCTGGGCAAGTAGCATTTGTAAATTGAATTGCCCAAGGGCAAGTAGGAAATTTTGGTATTTGACCCCCCTTGCATTTGAAAGTTGACATGCAGCGATTGATTCTTTTAGCTTTGACTTTAACCATCACATACAACCATTGTTTAATGTATTTTCTACACCTGTGAAATTACAAGGCCTATGGAGTTAAAACTTTGTGTCTTTTATGATCCCAGCTTTGGTGTGTCTGAAAATTGCTGATAAACGAGTTTAAACATTATGTCTTCATAATCCAAGTGAGATCCAGAGAAATGTGGCTCTATTTTTGTCATTTCTGCCAAGTTTGCAAGATCCAGGGGTGATTGTATAGCAAGTACTGTATTGATATTCATTCAAGGTTGATATCATCACTCTACCATGATTTATATTAACATTTATATTAATATGTGTAAATCCAGAACTCTGATGATGGAAATACAGAATACCTCTGATTCACCTGTAATCAATGCGTTATCGACCTGGACAGGTAACAGATGTGTGTAGCACTATACAGCCAATACATCAGTGTGACAGGTGATCACGAACCCTGCTATGTATACTCATTGTAGGCGTGGTGTTAATGATCAATGATTTAATGCTGGAATGTCATTTTCACGATCGTTAGTGTTGATACCATGTCATTAGAAAATTTGAACAAAAAAAATGATTTTATTGATTTTTAATATGTCAAGTATGTATGACTCAGATATGTTTCATAAAAGGTTATTACTTCCCAATTGTGTTCAGATTGTTATTTTTGTAATACTTACTACAAGCTATACAAATGTTATTGCTCATTTAACAGATATTTATCCCCTAAATACCTGGAGATAGAAAAGAAATAATACTAAATATGACTTGAGAAACATAAGGTTCCTGCTCGGGCTGGGACAGGTAACTTGGGTACCCGGGTCAGGTGGGTACTGAGTAGGACCTGGGTACCCTAAGGACCCGTGGTTAGTCATGTGATATATAGTTTAATGACAAAAATCATCTAGAACTCTATGGTTACACTACAAGTCTCTAATGTTCACATTTCTTTCTGACTATGCACCCATTCCTTCTGACTTTTCATATGCTTGAATAATGATTAACTTAAGTAAACTTCAGTGTATGCATGACCAGATTGTTTAATATATGTATCATAATACATTTTGCAAGTGCTGTGGTAAAAAGAATTCCAAATCAGACATTTTGTATCTCGTGAGACCTACAGTGGGTACTCGGGTAGGGTCGGGTTAAAGGGGGGTGGGTACCTGGGCAGTAAATTTGGACTTGTCCCAGCCCTAGTTCCTGCATTGTTTCGATTACTGTAATTTTCTGGTGTTTGATACATACCAATGTTTTGCATGTTTTAGGGGGTTCTTTATTTCAAGACGGAGTCTGTGCTGGAGACCAGTGGGAGGGATATATGTCATCAAAATGTGTATTTTTAAATTTTTAAATAATGATATTGTAAATCTTGAGAGTTGTGTGAGAAGAAAGTCCTGTGAAAACTACGAATGACACACACAATAGTTTAATGACACAGTGATTTTGGCAGACCAACAACAAACCAAACACAATTACCTTCTTTTTTTCACTTACACTTATTGTCAAACCAGCCAGTGCATTATTAAATAAATAATACCGTATTTGATGTTATAAGTGCCCCACTCTATTAAGCGCCCATGGCGATATTTGCTAATATATTGGATCGTGAACAATCCCAATTAGCACCCTTTCCGATTGATCAATGTACACAATACTTATTTATTCGCTTATAATATGCACTCGTGTGTTATATGTACCCTTAGTTATGGGCAACTAAATTCTGGAAAAATATATCTCTCCTATATAAACATTTCAGGCTGTCAGAATAAACCACGAAATTTATCTTTCAACTCTGTTTTTTTTCGACAAAATAATATTCTAATAAGAGCCCCCTATTTCTAATTTTGAGAGTGCCCTGGGCGCTTATTACGTCGAATACGGTACCTCGCATCCTGTGTTTCCTTAATTACACATGTCACTCCAAGGCCGTAGTCTAAGCAGGAAAGTTCACTCACCTGCTACATCTTGGCAAGCTGCGTACATGACGGTGAACAGGTCAGGCATACTACAGCCCATCTATACTGTTAGATAAACACGCTACACCAGCTCCCTTGTCAACTACACCACATGCATCTATAGTTTAAATATCACTGACTGGCAGTGCGTTTCCATTTCATCATGTCGCTCCCTACTTTCAAAACGTAACAAGCAAAAGTATCAAAAGTCCCTGAGTGAAGAACTCTTTAAATGACTAACTTGTTCCTCCCCTTCAAGCGTGCCATCTGTCTTTCCGCCATTTTGTCTACGGAGCGGAAAAATGAGGAATGATAACCCAGTTTGGTAACAAGTGGAATAGGACTCGCCCACTGTGTTGGCACCGAGGGGCAAGGTATATTTCTGGTGAACGAACAGGGACTGGGTAGATTTCTCAATTAAAAAATCTACTTGGGGTAAATGTATGTTCTGCGTTATACGACAAAGATGCTTTAAGTGATAATAATAGGCCGCTCTTTGGGGAGAAACTACAGAAAAATAACTCCCGCGCTGTGTTGTTCCTCAGAAGACCTGATGTTCTGGATTATTTGACCTGGCTGTTGCAAATTTTGCTTGTCCATTTTTATTTTGTGCAAAATATTTTTTCTTGCTTTCATCAGATTTAGTTGTCATGTTGCCATTCATACTAAGTGGGATGTAATATGTTAACCATGTGTTACTTCCAGTGTGGGGGAGATGTTCGACATCCAGGACGCCTCATTGTGATGATGTGCAAGTTCCTGCTGATCTGGATAGGTGAGAAGTTATCCTGTTCCGTGACTGAACTTTGCATGAACCTTTCAGTTGCCTGATGTTGAACGACCACCTCCGTGGTCTAGTGGTAGAGCGTCCGCCCGGAGAGTGGAAGGTCCGGGGTTCGATCCCCGGCGTCGTCATACCAAAAGACGTTAATAGATGGTACTTGTTGTTACCCTGTCTGGCACTTGGCATTAAGGGGCTACAACAAGGACTGGTTGGCTCGGAGTCAGTATACTGTTTCTGAGTGGGGTAGTCATGTTAAACTGCGGCATGGTATCTCAGTGAGCTAGCACTATAAATCGGCTTCAGTCCAGACTAGTACAAGCAGCCACACACACACACATGCATGCACATTGCTATATAAGTGCAATAATCTTGGATGCGACGTTAAACCCAATTTCACCTCACCTGACCTGATGTTGAACATGGCGGTCCAATGTGTAGTGTAGGTGTCAGCACAGTTATGCATATGGCACATGTTGCAAAAGAACAATTGCTGATGTAATAATCATTGGTCATGTAATAATCTTTGGTCATGTAATAATCTTTGGTCATGTAATAATCTTTGCTGATGTAATAATCATTGGTCATGTAATAATCATTGCTGATGTAATAATCATTGCTCATCTTATAATCATTGGTCATGTAATAATCTTTGGTCATGAAATAATCATTGGTCATGTAATGATCATAGATCATGTAATAATCTTTGGTCATGTGATAAATCATTGCTGATGTAATAATCATTGGTCATGTAATAATCATTGGTCATGTAATAGTCATTGCTGGTGTTATAATCATTAGTCATGTAATAATCAATGCTGATGTAATAATCATTGGTCATGTAATAATCATTGCTGATGTAATAATCATTGGTCATGTAATAATCATTGGTCATGTAATAATCTTTGGTCATGTAATAATCATTGGTCATGTAATACTCTTTGGTCATGTAATAATCATTGGTCATGTAATAATCTTTGGTCATGTAATAATCATTGGTCATGTAATAATCTTTGGTCATGTAATAATCATTGGTCATGTTATAATCATTGGTCATGTAATAATCATTGCTGATGTAATAATCATTGGTCATGTAACAATCATTGGTCATGTAATATCATTGGTCATGTAATAATCATTGGTCATGTAATAATCATTTGTCATGTAATATCATTGGTCATGTAATAATCATTGGTCATGTAATAATCATTGGTCAGAGCACTGATTTCTGTTTCGCTAGAACTGTGGTTTTGTTTTTTGGTTATAATTAGCGACCATGCAACAAACTGATGTTTGTTTTCATTTGATAGAGAGGAGTTTACTGTCATCCAATCGCCTTTTGACAAGAAAAGAAAATGTATTTAGACAGAGATGTATTCTGTAATTTCTGTGTGAATCAGACTGCCTCCATGGTCTACTGGTAGCTGTGTCGTACCACAAGACGTGAAAAGATGGTACTTGTTGTTACCCCGTCGGGTGTACAGCATTGAGGGGCTAAAACAAGGCTCGGAGTCAGTATACTGTGTCTGCGTGGGGTGTTCATGTTAAACTAGCTAAACTGCGGCATAGTATCTCAGTGGGCTAGCACTATAAAATCAGCATTAGTCCGGACTGGTACAAGCAACCACACACATACAAACACGTGCGTGCACTTCACTATGTAAGTGCCATAATCTTGAACATGATTTTAAACACTATTTCACCTCACCTCACCTTTGGGAATCCTCTTCAGGGGCCCTCTTTCTTTTGCTACTCCTCCCAGTGACGGCAGCCAACTACTTCATCGACGTTGATAGCTACATCAAGTTCAACGCCAGTCGCTTCCAACTCTTGGGTGCCGAGGATCGTCTGACCTTCAACTTCACTTTCTGCAACAGCCGTGGCCTTCTCCTCTACCAAGCAGGGGCAGATAACTTCTTCTCTCTCGGTGTATATAGTGGCAATATCTACCTTGAGTGGAAGACCCTCAACAGAGTTATAGAGGTGAGTGGGTTAATAGTGGAGACACTCAACAGTGAGAGTTGAGGAGGTTTATAGTGGAGACACTCAATGGTCATAGAAGTGAGGGGGTTAATAGTGGAGACACTCAATGGTCATAGAGGTGAGGGAGTTAATAGTGGAGACACTCAACAGTGAGAGAGTTGAGGAGGTTTATAGTGGAGACACTCAATGGTCATAGAAGTGAGGGGGTTAATAGTGGAGACACTCAACAGTGAGAGAGTTGAGGGGTTAATAGTGGAGACACTCAACGGTCATAGAGGTGAGGGGGGTTAATAGTGGAGACACGCAACAGTCATAGAGGTTAGGGGGTTTATAGTGTAGACACTCAACGGTCGTAGAGGTGAGGGGGTTTATAGTGTAGACACTCAACGGTCATAGAAGTGAGGGGGTTAATAGTGGAGACACTCAATGGTCATAGAGGTGAGGGGGGTTAATAGTGGAGACACTCAACGGTCATAGAGGTAAGGGGGTTTATAGTGTAGACACTCAACGGTCGTAGAGGTGAGGGGGTTTATAGTGTAGACACTCAACAGTCATAGAGGTAAGGGGGTTTATAGTGTAGACACTCAACGGTCGTAGAGGTGAGGGGGTTAATAGTGTAGACACTCAACAGTCATAGAGGTGAGGGGGTTTATAGTGTAGACACTCAACGGTCGTAGAGGTGAGGGGGTTTATAGTGTAGACACTCAACGGTGAGAGAGTTGAGGAGGTTTATAGTGGAGAAATTCAATGGTCATAGAGGTGAGGGGGTTAATAGTGGAGACACTCAACAGTGAGAGAGTTGAGGAGGTTTATAGTGGAGAAATTCAATGGTCATAGAGGTGAGGGGGTTAATAGTGGAGACACTCAACAGTGAGAGAGTTAAGGAGGTTTATAGTGGAGACACTCAACGGTCATAGAGGTGAGGGGGTTAATGTTAGAAAGGTTTAGAATTGACCATATCAAACAACTGAAGCTGATCTTGTTCATGTAAGAGAAATATAATCATGATAGTTGCCACTGCAAATAATATTATTTGTACAATATTTGTTCACATCAGTATTGATGTGAAGCAATTCATATCCAAGATATGTCCTTTCTCTGTAGCAATACTGTGTATGCAGAGAACATTAACAACCACAACACTCTAAGCATTTTGTTTTCAGGGCATGGGGTTGATTAAAAGAAAGCCAATCTGCAACAAACTAAAGAATATATTCTACTCAAAAGAAGTGGAAGAACACCCATTTTTTTCATATGACAATGGTTACCTTCCTTTGAGTAGTATTGGACTGTTTTAAAGCATATGCATATAATTTGTCATGGTAATGAAACCGTTTTTCTTTAACTTCAGCTGACAATCGGTGATGGCAGCCTGATGCCCAACACAAGCTACACTGTTGACATCACAGGACTTCGTAGTCGCAGCTTCACCCGAGCTACTGTAAACGGCCGTGTGATGCTGGTCACGTACCTGGTGGAGCTGGACCAACAGCTGGATCTCTCTTCCTTGGCTGGAGAGCTCTACATAGGGGGATATAAATCTCTCAATGACCTCAAGGTAAGGATTACGTGTGTTCTAGCAAACCTTCAGACATACCTGTGGTTGAAAGTGTGTGTATTTCACTCTGATAAGCCATACCTGGGTCCCCATTCCACAAATTGATTCCATTGTAAGCCTATGTTAAAGTAGTGGAATTACGATCACCTTAGGCCTACGACTATTGTAAGCCTATGTTAAAGTAAGGGAATGAAGATCATCTTAGTGATATTGATCACTTTGTGGAACAGGCCCCTATGAGATGGGTAGTGGGTGTCCATGACTCTTGTAACTCGTTACTCTCTGTCTAATCAGCTGGACACCTCTCGTTTGTCGGCATACCTGGTCACGTGTCTGGAGTATGTGGAAACTGCAACACGCAGACTCAATCTGACTGGGGACTACATGCAACATGTGCAGACCAGGTGAGGTATAGAAAAGAATCAGGCAAGGTGAGGTGAAGAAAAGGTGATATACAGACCAGGTGAGACACAGACCAGGTGAGTCATAGGCCAGGTGAGACAAAGACCAGGTGAGACATAGTCCAGGTTAGATACAGACCAGGTGAGACACAGACCAGGTGAGATGCAGACCAGGTGAGATACAGACCAGGTGAGATACATACCAGGTGAGATACAGACCAGGTGAGATACAGACCAGGTGAGATGCAGACCAGGTGAGATACATACCAGGTGAGATACAGACCAGGTGAGATGCAGACCAGGTGAGACGCAGACCAGGTATTTCAAGTATATAGTTTAGTGATGAGATACAATATTCACTCAATTGGATTATAATGCAGCAAAAATACCTTATACCTTTATTCAAATACTGTAAAACAAGGGTTGAAATACTGTCAAACAAGGGTTGAAATACTGTCACACAAGGGTTGAAATACTGTCAAACAACAGTTGAAATACTGTCAAACAATGGTTGAAATACTGTCAAACAACGGTTGAAATACTGTCAAACAACGGTTGAAATACTGGTACTGTCAAACAAGGGTTGAATACCAGTACTGTCAAACAAGGACTGAAATACTGTCAGACATGTGTTCAGTATTTATTTTTTCTGTTTCTTCTCAGCTGTCCATCTGACCTGTGCTCCAAGTCCCCAATCATCACCATGACAACCAGCCAGGCCTACGCCCTCATGGACGTCCAGTTGACGCCACGCACAAACACAATGATTCTAGTCAAGTTTCGCACCAAGTATGATTCACAGTATTATTAGGCAGTTCCCTGTAATGTGTTTGCTCGATTTAAACTCCACATTCGCTGTTGGTTTTCTCAACACTTGGTGTGAACTAATCATAAAAATAGCTTGTGTACATGATAACTTGAGTATGTAAGAATGGAATATGATAGAACCAGTAAACATAATCTCTAATTCAATCGATTTAACACATATACCAGACATGCCATGACAGATTACCTATAGTAATATGAAAGAAACAGGTGTTCTTCAACTTCTTTTGAGTAGTATATATCATTGCATTGAGCAAACAAAGTGGGGTTTGCTGGGACTGCCAATTTCCCAGAGTTGAGTCTCCCTTTAATGGAGTGGGAGTTAGGTTTCAATGTTTCCCTTTAAAACCAGAGGTGGTTGTAACTTTGTATATTAAGGTAGCTAGAGGCTTGGGATGTTCTGTTTTGAAGTTGAACTGTACTGTTCATGTATTTTTTCCAACTGGAAGTGATGTCAATAACTGGAAAGTGCATATAACGTTGGTAGCTACAGGCATCAGATTTTCTGTTTCAAGGGTGTACTGGATTAGGCTTATGTGGGGAAATACCACCTGTTTGGCAAGTCCAAATGGTTTCGAATGAGAGTTTTGTGGTATTCAGGAAACGGTGGGTATGGGATTGCTTCTGTTTTTTTATGTAATGCAAGCACCTTTCTAGTTATGTGCTCAACTGACTGAAAGTTCATTTTATTTAAAAAATTATGTTTTAGGCTAAACAAAATAATAGTCTTGGTTCTCAGGCACCGCCCGCATCATCATAAAGTCCACTGCACGTTTCGTTTTTATGTCCATTTTATACAAAAATCCTTATACTTTAAAAAAATGCCATCCAATATAGCACACAGTTACTTCCCTTTACATGCACACTGCTTTACTGCACATCTCGTGTTATGGTCACGGCGGCAATAGGAGTTTGTAGGCTTGTTTATGAAGGGAGGCCCTTTCCCAGGTTGATGGGACAGAACTGTTTATTTGGTTACATACTAGTTTGAACAAATAACAAAAACCAAAAACACACCGCCCGCACTATATTTTCAAAAGTCATTGCCTGAGAACCAATTTTTTGTGTCTTTTTTTAAAGCCTTTCATAAAGCTTTTAAACTTATTCTTAAGAACCAAAAACTGGTGTTTGCTGAAACTCTGTATGAATGGTAATGGCTGCCATGACGTCACGATTTGCACTAAACCTCAAATGATGTTGCGAAACAGTTTTTTTTGTCTTTTCTTAGAATCTAATCAATGTTGATTCTACTCCCTGCAGATATTTGCAATCATTATAAGGTTGACCTATCATAAAATTATTTTGTCATATTTTAGGTGAGCTAGAGAGCCTTGTTCTATTTTAGCTTTGGACATACACAGGTTTTGGAGTGAATACTTGGCTAAGTAGCAGACGTATCCTTTGTACTCTGGCCATCATGTTTTCTCACCGCCTCCGTGGTCTAGTGGTAGAGCATCTGCCCTGAGAGCGGAAGTTTGGTGGTTCGATCCCCGGTCGCGTCATACCAAAGGATGTCAAAAGATTGTACTTTTTATTATCCAGTCTGATGCTTGGCATTAAGGGGATAAAACAAGGTCTGGTTGGCTCAGAGTCAGTATACTGTGTTTGAGGGGGGTATCCATGTTAAACTGCGGCATGGTATCTCAGTGGGCTAGCACCATGAAACTCGCATTAGTCCGGAATAGTACCAGCAAACCCCATTCCACCTCACTGCTGAAAACGACCCTGCATGGGTTCATGTCCTGCTTCCAGACAACGGTAGGAAGAGGCAGACCCCGGAGTGGATACTTTAGACAGAGAATGAGACTGAGGTGTAGTTGTCTTTATACATGATCAAGGGGAGGTAATATTGTGCATTCAACAGCATTAAAAATTACCTCCCTTTACCTATTTTTTTCCCTTGAAGCATTAATGAGTGTTTGTGTTAGTGAAGCACCTGGCTGATATACAACTGGGTACAATATATTGGTATTTCATATCATGAAATATTGTATATATACACAGCTGGGAAACATTCACTGGCGCTATTTACATTAATGGTTTCAATCCAATAATTACCAAGTTTGACAGACTTTTTTTAAGGTTTGCAGAATAATTTTCTGCTGCAGTGACGTATATTTTGTGACTGCTGTGGCATGGACACAGTGGATTGAATGTTTGGGATAAGCCTGCGGCTTGAGAGATGGTTGACATCATCTTGCCATATTCCACCCAGATAATAATATTGAAATTTTCGACAGGTTTAAAGAACATTTTTTTACGGAAAATTTATGTGGATGCGCCATCTTGATTGACACAAATGGAAGAATGATGTTACCAAGGATATGTTAGATAACAGGGGAGGTAATTTAAACAGTGTCATGACGTCAGACCATTTTGACATAACTAACAGGATAAATTACAGGTGGCGCCTTTGATTTTTTAGCGTAACCTCTTAGAAAATTATAAGTTGATCTTAGGTAAAGAAGTCAATCATAATTGACAGAGGTACTAGCACCTGTACCGATTTTGCCTTCAAAGAATAATAAACTTGATGTCCGTAAGTCAAATCGGTCTTCACTGATACCACAGGTTCTGAAATGACAGCCTAGTGATTAAAGCAGTCGCTGGTCACGCCGAAGACCCAGGTTTGATTCCCCTCATGGGTACAATGTGTGAAGCCTGTTTCTGGTGTGCTCTGCCGTGATATTCATGGAATATTGCTAAAAGCGGCATAAAATATTCCTCACTCTAATATGGCACTTGGCAGTGTGATGTTGGACGTATAACCTGTACTTCTGTAACCTGTACTTTTCCAACAGGGCATCACAAGGCCTCATCTTCTACCTGGGTGGTCCAGCCTATCTCGTGCTGTACTTGGAACTGAGTGGTCGGCTCACACTCGGACTTAATACTAAGGTGGGTTATACATTTCATCTATATCACCTTGATGTGCTCAGACGTATTGATCAACAGCAGAGAATAAGTTTCCCCAGCATTCCCTGTGGGGGAGTATATTTCAGGAGGGGAGATGTGATTTTGGTTTGAGATTTGCATGTTTTTCAAATTTAGGAGCTGTTATTTTTTCCAACATAAACAGGTGCTGAAGTATGTTTTTTTAAATAAATGAAATATCAAACATATTCTTTGGACTCCTGTCTACAAGAAATGGGCACATTATATCATATTACATATTACATATGTAAAACCAAATCAATAAAACATGGATGATGTAATAAGCGCCCCGCTCTAATATGCAACCTTGGCGATATTTGCTAATATATTGGCTAATGAACAATCCAAATTAGCACCCCTTCCGATTTATCAATGTGCACAAGACTTATTTATTCATGTATAATATGCACTCGTGTGTTATATGCACCCTTAATTATGGGCAATTAAATTCTGGAAAATAGGGTACTGGACCGGGAGTGTTTTCCACAACTACTGGGACTGTGTTGTACAATACAGGGGAGTGGATGTCGGTGCAGGTGCGTCGTCAAGGCAACACCGCAGTCCTGCTGGACGGAGCAGGGATACAGCTGGCTGAAGCTCAGTATGGTCAGTGATCTACTTTACATCAAGGAAGATGAGGAAAGAAAGTCTTTTGATGTCCTTTATATCAAATCCGAGCTTTTTAAGATAACTGAAAAACAAAATTTCTTCTTCTGTGGCTAGATGCTTCGTCTTCTGGGTTCATATAGTGTCCATTGCATTTTTTTGTGAGTGAGTGAGTGAGTGAGGCAGGTTTTACCAGGTAGATGACATATACACAGATCCAGGTGTGTGGGTGCATGACTGTGTGTGTGTGTTTGTGTTTGTGTTTGTGTGCGTGCGTGCGTGCGTGCGTGTGTTTGAAGCATGGACAATATTTTCACTTATGAAAATCTTTTAAGGGGTGTAACACGGAGACGATGAGACATTTGCTTACTCCTCATCACTGCACTAACCCTTGGTTCCTTGTTTCTTTCAGCTTCTAGTGGAACTGGTAAGTAGATATTTCATCCACGGTTCTTGTTACATGTATAACCAAATAGTCTGTCTGAAGGCATTTGTCTATCCTGACTGATTTTCCTTCTTTGTAACTCTGGGTCATAAGTTGTTGAACTCAGCAATATCCAGCTATATGACTGCAGTCTGTTAATAATCAAGTCTGCACCAGACAATCCAATGATTAACATAATGAGCATCGATCTTTGCAATTGGAATACAATGATATGCATCAACCAAGTCCTCAAGCCGAACCACCTGATCCCGTTAGTCGCCTTTTACGGCAAGCATAGTCGCCTTTTACAGCAAGCATGGGTTGCTGAAGACCTATTCTAACCCGGATCTTCACAGGGTTAGGTCAGAGACTGTGCAGAACCAATGGTTCTGGGTTTGAATCTCAGATTATGTTTTTAGGTATGACAGCACCACACCGTGGTCATGGGTTTCAGTAAAGTGGTAAATGTCTGCGGCCTGCATCACATTGGTCTTCCTCCCCTGTCAAGCTGACCCACCATGACTGAGACACAGTTCAGTGTTAAACCACCTACCACTCCCTGTGATCATGTAGTTGGCAATAGCTTAATGGTCACATACTCTTTACACACAATTACAAAGGCAACCTAATTTTTAAATCATGGTTTATTTTTTTTAAACCAAAGCAAAAGCCAAAATCATAGCTCTAATACAAATATTTAACTGTGAGTGTTTTAAGTAGTATCTCAGGCCACAGCAAACACATTATAAAGAGACCAAATTATTCTCTGACAGAAGTAAACGCAAGTACATCCTGCATGGTTTAAGGAACTGAATTTGCATATAATTTCCCCCACAATACTTTATTGACCCTAAAAAACATTTTCCCAGATAAAATAGATAAATATTATGGTACTGAAATTAATTATGATTTTTAATATTATGTTATTTATTTTGATTTTGATCCTAGCTGATTATTTAGGAATCTATAAACAGTAAATCTGTATGACCTTTGAACTAGTGTTTCATCATACTACTAAGGGGGTCGGGTAGCTTCGTGGTTAAAGCGTTAACTCATCATGCTTGTTTCTCCACATAGGTACAATAAATTTGATGTTCCCCACTTTAATGTTGCTGGAATATTGCTAAATGTAGCGTGAAACCATACTCACTTAATTGACGATGGCTGTTGTCATTTTGATCCTGTTCTCTAGGTGTGGCCCAAACTCTCAATGCAGCAGAATTGTTTATTGGTGGAGTTGTCTCCCCCTCGCTGATATCGTCACTACCGCAGTCAGCCCAGGTGTCTCTACGAGGATGTTTTGATGAGCTTCGGTTCGCTGTCTACAGTATAGCATCAGAACCTGCCAAGCTCATCAACTTTGAACATTTTAAATCTGAGAGGTAGGGACAAAAAACGTTTGTCATGATGACAAACAACTTTGTTGTTTAATGCAACACTCAGCACTATTCCAGCTATATGACAACCGCCTAGACAAGCAAGGGACTGATATTATGAGCAATGATCCAAGCTGTCAGAGTATGATGACACAGAATCAATCAATTCACCGAGTCTTACCACCTGATTCATTTAGTCACCTCTTACAACCAGCATAGGTTGATGGGGATCAATTCTAACCTGGCATCTCGACTGGCAAGATAACACTGGCATTTCGACTACTAGATAACTTTGGCATCTCCACTGGCTAGATAACTCTGACATCTCGACTACCAGATAACTTTGGCATCTCCACTGGCTAGATAACTGTGGCATCTCGACTACTAGATAACTCTGGCATCTCCAGTGGCTAGATAACTCTGGCATCTCCAGTGGCTAGATAACTCTGACATCTCGACTACTAGATAACTCTGACATCTCGACTACTAGATAACTCTGGCATCTCCAGTGGCTAGATAACTCTGGCATCTCCAGTGGCTAGATAACTCTGACATCTCGACTACTAGATAACTCTGACATCTCGACTACTAGATAACTCTGGCATCTTCAGTGGCTAGATAACTCTGGCATCTCCACTGGCTAGATAACTCTGGCATCTCCACTCACTCACTCACCCACCCACCCATCCACCCACCCAAACCCACCCACCCACCCACTCACTCACTCGAAGTTCTAAGGAAGATAAAAAAAGTTTTTGGTTGCATATTGTCCTTCATGTGGCTTTAGCTGAGATGTATCTCTACTACCACATGGTCTTATGTGATCAGCTTATTATCTTATTATAATATGCCTGTTCCTTCAAGGTAATTGTTAGGTGAAGCCTAAAAGTCTCATTTCTTACCAGAATCTGTTTGGTACTCTTAGGGGTGTAAAACATGGAGGCTGCTTCTCATCAGATGTCTGTCAGCCATCGTGTCCAAGTCCCTCCAAGCAATGTAACATGTCGTGTGAGTGTTCACCAGGGTTTACCACAGCTTCAGCATCACCACTGCAGTGCAGCAACATTGACGACTGTGTCCCATCACCTTGTCTACACGGTGCCACCTGTTTGGACAAGATCCTGGACTATGAGTGCATCTGCACCCAGGCATACAACAAGGGTAAGGAAGTCCACATTTTAGTACAAACTGATATACATAAGGGTCATTTATCATATGTAGGTAGTTGTATGGGTACCCGGTAGGATGAGATGGTAATAGGACCTTCTAGCACACTACGGAAGCCGAGAACAAAAATCGACTGCACATTGATCCATTGACCATACTAGTAATTATGTAGTGCCATTAGCACATTTAGTATAAATGGAATAGTATGAATACTAATTAAAACTCCCTATTGTTCTCTGTGCCTTAGGTTTGGTACTTCCCAATCTGTTGACTTACACTGGGAGAGTACCTGGTTTTGGTGCCAGGCATAGGCCTTCTGACAATCTGGGTAATGCAGAAGGCTGCAGTGTTGGGGAGTCTTCACGTTCCCTAAAATGTTCTGGGTAGGTTCGACTAGGCAGCGCTTCCTGGGAGAAGTTCCATTCACTGTCTGGGCTGCGTGTAGAGGGGGCAAGGGCCCTGAGCTGATGATGGGCTGATGATGAGCTGATGATGAGCTGATGATGACCCTGACTGTGCCAAACCCTCTTTGCTTCATTTATTTATTTTAATCTGTAGATAATAAGAATAAGAATAAGAACCACTGATTGGACAAGATTACAGCATGACCCTATACATGAGGATCAGGGAGGATCTTTATTTCATTACACTAATTTCATTTCAAAGAATTCATTTCCATACTCCAATATTTAGATAATCTTTGTTGGTGTCTCATGAGTCATGTTCAACATAAAAAAAGTAAACACTGCAAATAGAATAATTCAAACCCCTATTTCCCCAACTTCCTTCATCACATGACATCCCCGACTGGCAATCCAAATGTTATTTCTTAATTGAAAATGTGAAAAATGGAAGTTTTCACAGGGAATATCTCTTTTCACCAAGCGAAGAAAAGTTGCTTGGTGAAGACGACCCTCATTAGTTGTCTGGGCAAGGTGACGGCCATGCAGGCAAATACGCTGCTCGCTCCAAGTCTCAAAGGGATGTGAATCACACCAAATTAAATCAATTTTACATCTCACACTGCCTGTGGCAGACTTTTTCCGAATTTTTTTTAATGTGGTCATTTGTTCTAATAACTGCGTGGATATAATTCAACATTGAAATAAAAATGCAAGAATACATGTGTTCAAGGCAGCTAATTTAATAACTATTTAATTTGGTGAAAAGTCACGACATGGTCATCAAATATGTTTGACTACCCCATCCTTAATGTGGAACACAGTGATGAAGTTAGAATGACCATGTTCGTGGCTGAGGATGAGGGGCGGTCGGGTAGCCTAGAGGGTAAGCGTGCTCTTGTCACGCCAAAGACCCGAGTTCGATTCCCTACATGGGTACAATGTGTGAAGCCCATTTCTGGTGTCCCCCGTTGTGATATTGCTGGAATATTGCTAAAAGCAACGTAAAACCATCCTCACTGAGCATGAAAAACTACTGGGATTCGGGTGGTGGTGGGTTTTCCGTTGTATGTGGTGTTTACTAGTCACTCGAAAGCCCAGGTTTGATTCCCCACATAAGAGCAATCTGTGAAGTCCATTTCTGGTGTCCTGCTCCATCATATTCATGGCATATTGCAAAAAGCAGCCTAAAACCAGACTCACTCACTCACTGCATGTGGAGACCTTTCTGAAAACCATCTCTGAGTGTGAAGGGGGACACTGGCACCAAGAGGACAAAGGTGCTGCAATTCATTGTGAAGAGTTGCCTCCCTTGTCTGCCAGGATCCTCTGCTCATGGGTTTGAATCTCAGAATCTCCCATATTATGATCCCTGGTTTGTCAGCACTACATCAGTGCAGTTTCTGTGACCTGCATTACTCCCTGATATACTCACTTTAAACTGTTTATTTGTTTCTTTGTTTAATGCTCACTCGGCAATATTCAAGCTACCGGTATATGGCAGCAGTCTGTAAATAATTGAGTCTGGACCAGGCAGTCCAGTGATTGACATCACGAACATCGACCTACGCTATTGGGATACAATGACATGCATCAACCAAGTCAGTGAGCCTTACCACCTGATCCCATTAGTTGCCTCTTATGACAAGCATGGGCTGCTGAAGACCTTTTCTATCAGGGGCCACATTAAACTGACACTGCATAATATGATGGAATTGTCCTGCTTGACAACGGTATAAGAATCTATACTGAAACGTCGCTTTTTTACAGTGTTAAAGAAGTTGTTATCCATAAATTTGTGTCTACCCTGTTCAAAGCCACTTTAAACACAATTCACTCACTACTGATGTGCGCCATGTCTGAACCCAGGGCCAGATGTAATTGAAAGTCTATATCTTTTACAAATATTTCAATAAAATGTTTAGCTCTCATACTTGAATTCACTCTCATCATCATCATTATTATTTACTTATACATCTCTTGTTAGATTCATATATCAGTATAAGTGTTGATTCTGTAGTCTCACAGTCCCTGAACCATAATGTTTCCCCTTCAGCCAGCCCTTACTGTAATGCTATAGCCCTAAATGAAGCAAGTCAAGTTTTTCCACAAGTTCAAGATCTCCAGCCTCACTGGGGCTCATTTTCAGTTTAAAAGTAGCTGCTTGTTTCTGTCAAAATTATATTAAGTGTTTGTCTATTTGTCCTGCTTCCAGGCAAGAACTGTTCTGTCCGGAACTACTGTCTGCCCAGCCCCTGTGTCAACCAGGCAACATGCTCCGACTCCATGGCAGGGTACAACTGCACTTGTCCTCCGGGATACACCGGGAACACATGCAACCAGGATATCGGTGAGATGAACAGCTACGCTAGACATTAAGAAACAATGTCTACCTATTTAATTTGGTTATTTTTTGTAGTGTCATTAAGGTGGCAGTGAGGTAGCCCAGCGGTGTTATGAGACTTGGGTTCTATTCCCAGTATTTGTGTAGTTGTATATCTAGTGTCATCTAGACAGTGATAGTTGGTCTTGTGATCAATGATTATGATTTCAAGTAATGTTATCAGAGTTTTATGTGATGCACAAATGTGTGTCCAGGTCACAAAAATGTTGAGATTAGACACAGAAAAAGAATACACAGCGTCCCGAGGGAAGCATCAATGGCAGTTATTGGTGTCTGTCATTTAATCCATCAATCATTACAACCAAACTTCGTGTTGAACTTGGATGTGTCGAATTCCATGTTGTCTCAAACACATTTGTGAGTCCCAAGTATCCAAATTAAGCATAAAATTTCCCTGATGTCTCTTACCCTGGATAAGTTGAATTTTTTTCCCTGACCGCACAAGATTTTACACGAGGTTTGCAATAAAGCTTCCTGCATACGACATAAGTTATCCATCTCCACCTTCCTACATACAACATAAGTTTTCTCCAGCTTTCACGTTGTGTTTATTCCAGATGAGTGTCTGGCGTTTCCGTGTCAACACTCCTCCACCTGCATCAACAACATCGCCAACTACACCTGCCTCTGTGCAGCAGGGTACACCGGGAGAGACTGTCAAACTGACATTGACGACTGCGTGACGACTCCTTGTGAAAACAATGCTACCTGTGCTGACCTCGTTAACAACTACACATGTACCTGCACTCCAGGCTGGACAGGTAAGTGAATATTGTTTTACACCACGGTCAGACATATTCCAGCAATATCATGACTGCCTGACTCACTTTTGAAATTTTTGTCAGTGTTCAGGCAACTAGATCTGCATGTTTTTCACAGTGTGCCAAATGGTGACAATTTCAAGCTAACACAATTCGTTACCACAGCTTCTAAAACACCACCTAAACATTATTATTCAGAATGTTTTCAAAGACACCAAACCTATGAAGATCTGGTGTAGAATAGGTCTTGAGGAGCCCATGCTTGTCGTAAAAGGCGACTATGCTTGTCATAAGAAATCAGGTGGTCAGGGTCACTGACTTGGTTGATGCATGTCACCATATTCCAATTGTGGAGATCGATGCTCATGATGTCAATCACTGGATTGTCTGGTCCAGACTCGATTATTTACAGACTGCCATCACATAGCTGGAATATTGCTGAGTGCGGCGTTAAAAAGCAATCAACAAACACAAAAACAACAACAACAAAGACACGAAGACCACAATGCCCTACATGAAGTCCGGTTAAGAGTGCAATATCATGGGATGCGTAAATAATTGAGTCTGCTCTGGTAAACTGGTGGTTGACACAGTGAGCAACAATACACACCCTCACGCTACACAGAACCAGTCATACATCGTGTCCACGTGATCCTCAATGGTTAGGTCTGACGTGCATAGGGTGAGGGGTACAGGGTGACCTTGCCTGACCCAGGACTTTGTAGGTCGCAGTCCGTGGGAACAACCTGGTGTGATCTAAGGTAGAGAGTGTTGAGGGAATGAGTGTGTGAACAAATTTCAAAATTATTTTTCATTTCTTAGAATCAGCATGTTGTGCTTGAGACCTATACCACTGGAAGGTCACAGATTATGAGAAGCTGATGTTGAACGTTGACAGAGTGAGTGTGAGTGTGAGTGTGTGTGTGTGTGTGTGTGTGTGTGTGTGTGTGTGCATGTGTCTTTTGTCTGACTATTTCAGAATTATATCAAGGTTGAATGTAATCAGGTTCTGGGGCAATTAAACCAATGGTTGATGTTGTGAGCATTGCTGTGAAAGGTGATGATCCAGGTGTTACCCATACAGGTACTATCCACACGTCTTCAGCAACCCATGCTTGTCATAAGAGGGGACTTACTGGATCAGGTGGTCAGGTTCACTGACTTGGTTGATGCATGTCGTCGTATCCCAAGTGCATGGATTGATGCTCATGTTATCAATCACTGGATTGTCTGATCCAGACTCGATTATTTACAGACTGCCTCTTACGACAAGCATAGTCGCCTCGTATGACACCATCTTTATGCACTCAGCAAATTTCCCTTTATGACGTACCCGTGCTTGCTGTAAAAGGGGACTATGCTTGTCATAAGAGGGGACTTACTGGATCAGGTGGTCAGGTTCACTGACTTGGTTGATGCATGTCGTCGTATCCCAAGTGCGTGGATCGATGCTCATGATGTCAATCACTTGATTGTCTAGTCCAGACTCGATTATTTACACACCGCCATCATATAGGTGGAATACTGCTGAGTGCGATGCTGAACAACAGAGAAACAAACAAACAAAACTGTCCATGCTCAGCAGCCATTGTCACATTGGATCTCAAGTATGACTTTCTTCTTCAGGAAATATTGTAACGATTCACCAAGGCTTCTTGATATTCTATCATGAGGTAATGTATTTTTATGAGTGCAGTTCAAATAATCGAAGTATGAGTGGAAATATCAAAATTATTTTGATCTCCAGTTGCAATGTTGCATCTAATAACATCATGTTGTGCATGTAGTTGTTCGTTGTTCAGACCTAGGTTTAGTGCAAAGTGTGCAAGGTTTCCACTTGTTTACTTACAAAGAACTCTTTCAAAGCCTCTCACAGAGGTTTATGAAAGTAAAGTGTATTGATGTACACATCTTGCAGTGCTGGAATATATGCAGCCACATGTCAGTCAGTAGGCCTTACCAATAGCTCTACACTGAAAACACACTAGTTTTTCTCCTAATTGTAAAATGCTACATGTGTTTATAACAGTAAATATACAAGTTCTCAGGCCAACTTTAGTTTACTGACTCCAATTTACTTGTATGTTTTATTTCAGTGGCATTTAGAAGTTGGTGTGATGAAGTAAGACGAGTTCTATGGATGAACAACTTCTTTATTACAATTAGTGCGGCGTTTCGGTGTAGATCCTAACACCTTTATCACTTGCTTGATAAAGGTGTTAGGATCTACACCGAAACTTTGCACTAATTGTAATAAAGAAGTGGTTCATCCAAAGAACTTGTCTTACTTGTATGTTTCAGTTATGCCATTTGTCATGGAATATGTCTCCTTACCGTGACAGTTGTCAGTATTCCGTATCATGTGATGTATCATATGTGGTGCGATGATGTTAGGGATGATGGTGTTAGAGATGATGATGATGATGACAGTGACAGTGGCAACTACATTGATTGGGATGATGTTGGGGTTGATGATGTCGACAATGATGATGATGATGATGATGATGATGACGATGATGATGACAACATTGATGGAAATGATGATGTTGAGGATCTTGTTGCGACAAAGTATTGTTAAATCACTTTCACCCAAGTGTCAGACACCCATCAAATATCTGAGTAACATTGTGTCGGTAGCCAGACAAAGGTGTGGAAATAATCAATACCTAACCAAGTCAATTTTCTATGATAGAATCCTTGTGTGAGTTAACAATCTGTTGAAAAAATTCTTTTCTTTTCTATCTGATTTCAACATTTTTGCCATATTTGGAAATGGTCGTGTGTCATTGTTTTATGATGGTCTTCATTTTCCATCTTCTTCCATTATCCCGGCTCCAGAACAAATTAACATCAATGATTGAGGCACATGATAATCATTTGTTTTAAATACAAATTTGTCTTATCAATCTAATTTTGAATTATTTTTACAGGAATTTACTCAAATCAGTCAGCTTTTTCAATTAGAAACATTATGCGAAATCAATATTTGGGCTGCAACTTGCATGAAGGATTGCACCCAGCATACAACTTTCCGAGACAATATCAGACAATGGGCCAATCACAGCCAAGGCCCAGGAGAGTTGAATTTTGTCAGGAGATGTTTTATGCCATTTAAAAAATCAATCAGACTTTTGACATTTATGAATTATGAATAACAGAGACAGTCTCTGATGACGATTACTTGCATTGTTTAGGAAAGAAATATCATTGTCTAAATTGTTGATTTGGTTAAAATATTCTCATGAAATCCTGGTCTTAATAATTATTTGGTTTTGTTACAGAAATTCCATGCATGACATAGCAGTATTTTACAATTGTATTCAAAAAGTAATCTCAAATCATTTTTAGAAATTAAGTACTTAAATTTAAATGACAATTTTCACCAAATCAGTCGTGACACATGAACCAGCTTCCTCTCGTTGTATTCTGATATGCCTCGTGATTTCTGCTATGTTGACGAAGACATGCATTTATTCCAATTGTCTTTGTTTCTGACAATATTGTAAAATTATCGCTAGTGTAAAGATCATTTAGGTGTGTAGCAGTGTTCAACATTCGTTTGTTCCATTGGAACAATCGTCCAATATAATGGTCTGTTTAATATTGTGTTTTCTGCTTTGGAAATTTACATGTCAAAGTGACCATTTTTGTCATAATTTCAATTTTGGATTGATTTAAAGAGATAGGAAGCTGTTTACATCAGCATGGTGATAATAATGCCTTGATTATAGATTTTATCAAGTATTGTGTGAGTTAATTTTGTGGGTATCAAATCAACTTTGAATTATCTTAAATAGGCCTAACCGAAAAGCGTTTTTCATCAACTTCGCTTTTTCATTTACATATGTGCTACATATTATGTGGTTGGATGCTGTGTTCAGCTTCTCTCAGTATGGGCCTGTGATCACTTTATGGATGAAAACCATGACTCCCTGGCCAGCTTATATGAGTTGGTCGCATTGCCCCAAACATATATTTTCAATGGTGTCCTATAAATGTCGTCTGTCAAGCTTCCCATGGTGTGACCCTGCAGTTGTACATATTCATGAGCCCAGTAATCATTCTCTGCTTACTGGACAAATCTAATTAGTCTCTCTTCTTCCTCAATTACGGCAAATTAAGTCATTGGTTTGTGATTGATCAAGTCGGTGACTTTCTGAAGAAACAGATCTGTGTGTTCCCTGTCTGACAGATGTTCCTTGTTTAGACAGAGCAGAAAGGGAGAGTGTGGGTGTTGTTTTAAATAGCAATATCAAAGCTGTATTACAACAGGGGAAGTCAAAAACGTGGCAATGGTAGAAATAAACTGAGGATCTATCAACATTTTTAATTCACCTATGGAGCTGAGTGGTACATGCAGAGTTCCCTCCCCTGGTAGCAAAGAATTTCACTGGCTCAACTATGTTGTGGTGTGGCGCCTTTAAGAGTAGAAACAGGAAGATATGAAAACTTGGCTTTGGAAGAAAGGGTGTGTTTTAATTGTAAAGAGTGTGTGGAGCATGAATGTCATTTCTTGTTACACTGCCCCCTTCATAATGAAATTATAGCGCCATTATCAAGAAGATGAACTCAAGTCTGTGATATTTTCAATGATTATTAAGATGTTGAAAAAGGCGGTGCGTCGGTCATCTGTCTGGTACCACTTTGGTGTGGTGAGTAAAGGCTTTGACAAGTTAAGTGTTCATGTTGAGGATGTCCTTCGCCCCATCGTCCCCTTTCATCAATGGCTCCGACTCAAAGTCTGTCTAACACTCATATGTATGTAGATGATGGCCAATGGGTGAAAATGTCATGATGGTAAAAATATTGATGGGGAAAGGTAGGGGACATCTTGACATTCCTGCTTAACTTTCCTAGCCATAATCCTGTGATAACAGTTAAAGATTTAGGGGTTCCTTGATTCAAAGAGAGTAGAAGACCTTTAGCCACAGGTCCCCCTTCGTTGGGCCCTTAATGTCAAATACTGATTTGACCACAAGGTTACACAACTGTGTCCTTAA